GCTTCTTATACTAGTAAACTATACCATCTCGGACTCGGAAGGGATAGGATATACATGTAATAAGACTGTAGCACTTTTTACAAACTCGAGGCAAGGCAAATTACATACCAATGAGGTAGGATGGACAATGGATGGATTCCGACGTTTCGGGTGGATCCTAGGGCACGAGAACAGCGCGCTGGATAAGCGCTAAGCGTGGGAACAAGTGCTAGATAGAGCAGACATGCACTAATGCTCCTATAGACACATTGCTGGTAGTTCTGATAGCACTATAAGCGCAGGAATATTGTCAGATAAGTCGTGGGAGCATGAACAGCATTGCAGGAAGTGTGCGTGCATAGTGCGGGAAAAGTGCGGAATAGCGTCGGACAAGGGTTATGGCTGAGACAAGTGAAGACTGCTGATAGGAGAGTAGTGAATAATATGAGGGATAACTTTGGTCCACCTATTGAAGGCTTATGCAGGTATACATGCCTAGTGCCAATATGATTGTCACAATGCACTTATCTAAATCACATGCTGGGACATGCTGATGTAGCCCAATGATCCATGATTTCACCAGTCTCTAACTCTAAACATGTCATTCTCAGTTGTTTCAAGTAACACCTAGTTGATTGCAGTGACATAGTCTGAATCTAAAGTGAGGAATCTTGCTACAGAAGGAAAAGTGCAAGCAAGGTGGAGCCAGGGACTTGCTGTGTACCAATCAGGGCAATGCTTGAGCTTGTCAACATTACATACTACTGCTTTGTTTTATGCTTACGGCTTGATAGCACAGCATGTGGAGCTTACAAGCGAACAGCTCCACACCTTCAAGCAAGCTTGTTCTAGAACCTACCCTTGAGCTCCACGCTCCTCAAGCGAGCATACCTTCTGGTATCAAGAAACCACCCCCATACCAAGTACAATTTACTCCTGTCTCACAAAATATCAGAAAATCATACTATAAGAAGCATCAAATGGTGGTCATAAGTCTCTTGTCCTACATCTTCCTTTTGTTTCACTCCTCCATCCTGATGGCTTTGCCTCAACAAAAATCTGACAGTGACTGCAAGGATGACACTGCTACTGCCCATGCCAAACAGTGTATCATGGCTCTAGAGCAGGAGCTTGAGACTATTATGGTGAGCAAGTGGAGCAAGCTGTGAGTCCCTGATCTCCTTTTAATTCACAAGGTCTTATTGGGTTTGGTATAATACACACAGACAAGCTAACTTCAATATGCACAAAGGATGGTGCATTTGCCACCTCATGTCTTTGTTCCACAGCCTTGAGGACCTGGTGGCCAAAAACAATTGATGCAAAGAGTTACTGCAATCACTCAATTCACAGGATGAACTCATCACAAGTCGAGAGTATGTTCCCCTTATTCATGTTGCAGCTCTCATGTTCTAACTAGGATCAGCAAGGACAGAATAATCAGTTCTTTCAATGAACTCCTTCACTGCCTCCCTTGGCTAAGGAAGAAGCTTTTTTCTGATATCAAGGAACTTGATTCAATTTTGAAAGAGGTGACCGTTGTGACAATCATATTGACGCTAGGCATGTATACCTGCATAAGCCTTCAATAGGTGGACCAAAGTTATCCCTCATATTATTCACTACTCCCCTATCAGCAGTCTTCACTTGTCTCAGCCATAACCCTTGTCCAACACTATTCCACACTTTCCCGCACTATGCACGCACATTCCCGATGTCCTGCATGATTTGGGAATCATGCATGGACATGACTACTAGGTATCCCCCTAAAAGACAAAGTCTGTTAGCTTAGTCCTCAGACTAGTCAACCCATACCTTGGTATCAAACCTTGGTCCAATAGCTTCAGTTTTCCCTCAGTGATTCATGAATCCACCATGTTTTGAAGAAAAGTCATATGTGAGATGGGAATCACATAATGACCTAGTTGATATGAGAAGCAAAATGAAGGTTAAGGTATTGCCTTTCCTTTGGCTTATTCACTTTGGCTAGAGAAACCCATAGAGAAAAGTTCAAAGCCTAACAAAACCTATCTAAAAAGCCCGCGTATTGTGTACTATTATTTGTTCCATTATTTCCGAGTTGTTTTCTCTAGTGTTTCTTTACTTTACTTTTCTATTAGGATGCTCTGACTAATTGTTAAGACCGTACTCAAGAAGTATCGGATCCGAAGGGCTTCAGGCCTCAGCTCGTGCGCTGTGCCCCTTTCCCAAGTCTTGCCCCTTATTTCAGAGTACTAGAGTATCGCGTATATTGAGATGGATAAGTCTCGTAACGGATCTGTTATGGCTTCCGGATATCGAACAGTATATAGTAATGGCTAATCCGGATCAGATCCGAACTAGAAACTAATGGGCGAGGACTGTCCGAAGACAGAGACGGGTGTGTGGACTATAGGAATCAATCCAAAGTCTCGGAGTAGACAAGAGTATCGTACTCAAGTCTGGATGGATAACGGAGGGACTTAGAGTCCAGGCAGAATGAGTGCAATCTAAGATGATATTCGAACTGATCTACTACAGCGCATGTACAAGGGTTTATATACTGTTACGAACTAGGATGGTTCTGACATATGGCTACTCGATAAGAGTAATCGGCCAAGGTCGGTTCAAGGCTTCGGCGTATACTGAAGCTTCAATGTTCTAGACAAGACAAGGAGAGTGTCCTCAACTTGAATCAAGTTCAATACGACTTAAGATTGGAGGTCTTAAGTGAAGGAAGTTCCAGGTAAAACCTAGTAAGATTAAAGTAAAGAACTACATAGTACAAGATAAGTTTATATAGGAAATGATAACAGCTTTAGGGCCGGTACGATGAGGTCATAGAGATGAGTCAGAGATAAGACGAGTCAGAGATAAGGCGAGTCAGAGATAAGACGAGTCAGAGATACCAAGAATAGATCATCTAGCGACGGCAGGATGCGATCGTGATGTAATACAATGATGTAAGAGAAAGAAAATGAATAGGGGCGTACTTGACTGTAACATATACTACGGATAACTAACGGAATGATCAATAAGCAAGGATGCAAGGCTATGTACGAAGTATAAGTAAAGTATGTGTACAGCATATCGGTAAGTCGGATGGATAATGAATCATAACCGGGAATGAAGTCTAAGCTAAAGTGGATCAGTAAGTGTAGCGGATCAGTAAGCATAACGGAAGTAAAGGATAACTGGTATACCAGTGTACAGGAATGCCGAAAGGAGATGAACAATAGTTAGAGTTATATGAACAGGACATGAAACAAGGATTAGATCGGATCTGTGGACCTGGACAACGGATATGTCCATCGGATCTGGATCGGATCTGTACCCGGGAATATGGTATATGACACTAATCAGATGCTTCATAAAATTGTACCTACAGGGTATGATGTCATAATGATGTCATAGGACTTCACCTACACTCCTGCAGGTATTTTGTTGAAAGATATGATATCATAGTGATGTCATAATGATGTCATGTTCCATGGAATTTGCTAGAACATTCCAATGACTCATAATGACTCAGAGTGACTCAGAATGATGTCATTATCCCACCATGAATATTCTGGAATGTTCTTTTGCACCTGCTAGAACATTCTGCTCCAGTTTTTGGGATATTCTTCTCACATTCTGAAGTCATTACATCACCTTTTTACTTACATAATATTCCCACACAAAATGTATATAAGGAGAGCCCATTCTCCCCCCAAAAAATAGATCTCCCACTTGTTGCATTCAAGAATCTTCCACTTGAGCAAATTGAACTCTCACCTAAGAAGCTTCAGTCTGAACAAATTGCTGCTTACAAAGCCCATTTCCTTTGTAAGAACTGTCCAGACAAGTGCAGGGAAAGTGTATCCCTTGAGATTACGTAAGTTTCTCGTGATAGAAACCCAGTTTTGCGAGACCAGTGTTCTCACCACATAGTGTTTACTGACCAACACGAGCTTTGGTCACCGTTGTTATTTGTGAGACCAGCGTTCTCACCAGGTATTTGTATACTGACCAACACGAGCTTTGGTCATTGTTGTTATTTGTCATTGTTTTTCTATTTGTCATTTGTTGTTATTTGTGAGACCAGCGTTCTCACCAGGTATTTGTATATTTACCAACATGAGCTTTGGTCAACGTAGTCACATTTGAGACCAGCTTCTCAACAGTTAACTGTATATTCAGGAAACCAGTTCAAGTGTCTAGACGGTATATCCTAGACAATCCCATAGTTTCAATCAGAGATAATAAAGCTCCGGCTAAGTTAATCTAACTGATTGGTTTAGCGAGCCTCCCAAGAACTCACACATTATCTACCATGAAAGAAGAAAAGTCGTAGACCGTGTTAATCGAGGACTGGCAAGAAGTCTTATCTAGTGTAATTGTGGTGTCATTACATTCTTACACATTTTTATATAAGACCCTCGGTTATTAAGACACTGCAGTGCTATTCATACTCCCACGACTTATCCGACACTATTCCTGCACTTATAGCGCTATCAGAACTACCAGCAATGAGTCTATAGGAGCATTAGCGCTTGTCCGCTCTATCTACCACTTGTCCGCTCTATCTAGCGCTCGTTCCCCGCGCCTAGCGCTTGTCCAGCGCGCTGTTCTCGCGCCCTAGGATCCACCCGAAACATCGGAATCCATCCATTGTCCATCCTACCTCATTGGTATGTAATTTGCCTTGCCTTGAGTTTGTAACAAGTGCTACAGTCTTATTACATGTATATCCTATCCCTTCCGAGTCCGAGATGGTATAGCTTACTAGTATAAGAAGCCTATGGTGACTACTTCAACATTACTTCCCTTCAACTGTATTTCCTTTCCATTAGGTTTTACTTAGAAGTAGTCACCCTTTAGTTGCGCTCTATGGCCCCTATTTGACTTTCCTTACCCTTGCAATCAATGCCTCTGATCTCACTCACTATCCATTACCCTCCTTTGACTCAGTGTCCGCTTTCTTGACTTCCACTCTTTCCCACGCATTAGCGCTCTATCTTGTGACGCGCTATTCCCGCGCATTAGTGCTCTATCTTGCAATGCGCTATTCCCACGCTTTAGCGCTCTTTCGGGTCTTTTGATCTTAAGTTGTTCTTAGTAGCTTTTCCCTCGGGTCGAACGTTCTTGCTTTATTGTTTGCAAGTATAGCAGCATAGGCAGAGCTTAGACATATACTGGCTTAGTACCTTTACAAGTGCCTAGTCAGGTTGTGTTTTTCACACTGTTTCTCCTGGCAATATATCTACTTTACTTACTGTATGTTCTTAGCTACGAAAAGGTGCAGACAGTGTGTGAGGGGATGACACTGCAAATCTTAAGCATACAGTAGTTTCATGGCTCATGGAATTGTTTCATCCATTGGACCTGCCCCTTCACACCACCATCAAAGACAACCACAGGTTCATTCACAACACTACCAGCATGCTCTTGTGTCCAGTTGAGTATATGTGGTCTCTCACTTTGTATGTATTGTTAACACAATAGAGCATCAATTTTATATTCACCATTACAACATGACAAAGGAGAAGATCAGAGACAGGGATTCGGACTTTCTGGTCACTGCTTACTCTTGGCCAGCATTTGTATACAAAGATTACTCATTTGATTCAGCCAACATCAAGAAGGGCCTCTTTCACTTGACTCTACTGCTCAAGGTATGCTGCACTATGTCAAGGGTGACATTGTTCACCTAATTTTTGAAGGCATTTAAACATGTCTTCACATCTCCATCCTCCGCCAAAGAAATCAATGGTGATGGCAATGGCACTGATGTTATCGCAGCATCTCAATGTTGTCAGTCTTCAGAGAATGACACAGCTAACCATAGCCATGTGGCTAATATCATAGGCATGAAAACAGTGACCCTGCACGTCATTGCATACACAGCTTGTCAGGTTCATCAACAATCTTTTCATGGTGTTTCCAATTTGAAACTAATCGTGGATATAGCTTCAATTTGCTCTTTCCAATGTGAACTCCTGGCAGAGCATTGATGGAGATTTCGACTACTATGATTTCTACAATAACATTGTGGACTTTTTTGAGGTTGTACCAGGCACTGATGCTCAAGTCCACATTACCAAGTTGCTCAAATGGTGGAATAGGTAAAATTCTTCATTGTTGTCATGTGCATCATACTCTAACATCTCGCATCACTTGCAGGAAAGTGTTTGAAAAAGTCTGTATGGTCCCCCTTTCTTCAATGCAGCTTGGGAGGTTTTCAGTTACTAGGATGAGTTCGCAGAGAGAAGTACACAAGGGAGATTCTCCTTAATGCACTGGGCACCAGAATATCAAGCAATTATCACCATTATATATACCCGTATATGATTTATTATAGTCGTCACAGAATATACATTTTCATGATGCCCCATTACTTTGACAGAAGTTCTCCGACTTGTGCACATTTGTTCAAAGCTGGCAAAGCCCCTCTAATAGAACAATTCCATTTGAGCCTGCAAAATCTCTCCAAATGAACTGACTTTTTTTATGTGTTCAATTGTATCCCATATGGTTCTGCTTGTCTTTCCCAACCAAATTTATCCGGGTGATTAATATACCTGTATCCATTCAAAGCTGGCAAAAGCCATCCAACAGAAAAAGTTTCACACATCTGCTCAAACCCAGCAAAATCCTCTGAATGTATGAAGCTTCTTGTTATGCTCGATCCTGTCCTCAATGTTTCTACTTGTCTGACCTGACTGTTTTTATGTTCAGGGTTCGAGTTGCACATGTCTATCCAAACCTTTCAATACCTCTGAGATAGACAAAGTTTATACTTTCACAGACAGGTTACTTAAAGATTGAGCTACTCAGCTAGAAAAACTATGGTGGTCCATCTACCAGATAAATTGACATATTTTACCTTGCCCCAAACATCTGAAGATGAGATAACACGACAGAACTAATGGTGTCCTACCAAATCACACTCTGAATCAGTAGCTTTATGCAAAGAAAATTCCCTTGCATTCCAACATGTTAGCCATCAAATAGACTATGATGATCTATCCACAACATAAATTGGACAAACTGTTCCCTGCTCCAATTATGTTCAATGTTTTCAATGCCAGGATAATGAAGCAGAAATAATAGTGTTCAGTAAAACTGTGCTCTAAGTTTGTAGGATTATGCATAGAAGGTTCCTTTAAATTCCATTACATGAATTGATCATGTCACTTATCTATATTATACTGATTACTGACATTGTGTACATCACCAGAGTATACATAGCATGGTCCATTTTTTCACAGGGCAGTGATGGTACTGAGTTCATCAATCATTACTGCATTATTTGATGTGTTGTCACAAGTAACAGCAAGGATCTTCATTGTGGTAGGTCTCATTATCTATGTATTTCTGTTGATTAGACTAACTTTTTCTATGATTCCAAAATCATCCAGTATCTTCTCAAACACTCCTGCCAATTCCTTACCAGTGTGTGACTAACATTTCTGTCACAGTGCTTGCAATGAAAGAAATCTGAATCTACCACAGTTTCAACTCAAAGTTAAGTGAGGATCATGTTCGTGGTCACTACAACTTGAACGTACCGTGGTTGGCCTTCTTTTTTGTTGTCTCGTTTTATGAACATGGCGGCCTTCAACCTAGCTGGTACACGGAGAAAAGTAGTAGCTGGCGCGTCGGACACCAAATGTGTGGGATTTGTAGTGCATCACGTGCCAAGGAATCTCGACTTTCTGAATTGTCGATTTTCCGCCGCTTTCCGCCCTCTGCGCAATTGGGTTAACTTAAAGGCGGACTGTAACTTATTAGGCACTAGTTTTCTTTTGCGGAACCACCTTCTACCCTTGTCTGCCTGCTCTTCAACCATAATCACTTCATAACTATTGTTCGTCATGGTGAGGAACTACTTGTGGAGGCAAAGAGTCAAGTTCGAGTCGACCTTAGCATTGTCTATGCTTGAGCCTTGGGAGAAATTTCTCTGCTGTGAGTCCTATCTTTTCATGAATTGCCAATGTCATGATTCCCTGATTCGTCCGTAGTGATCATATTTTCGCTTTTGACGATGTTGGTGATGATTGGACTGTTCCAATACTTGCCGCAGCATGTCATGGTCATGCAACGACGGGCCATATATTACCTCTGGGGTCAGGAAGGAGACGTGTTTCGTTCATGGGTAGAGACTCCGGGGCTGAAGGAGCTATAGTGCGTGCCTAATTTTCTATTCATAGAGGTGCGAGGTCCTGTGTTTCATTCGCTGTCATGCTTACTTACCGACACATTTGCATTCTTAGATCTTGTCTTATGCTATCTCTCTGGATTCATACCTTCCATATGCCTCACTCACCTACGTATACCTCCTTTGTATGCTCATACGGACTACAACAAATTCTTATTGCTGGACCAATTGTTGGCGCGCACATCAATACTGCAGCCACGTGGCCCAATGATACTACTGCAAGTTATTGGATTGCAACATACTTGTTAAGTTTTTTCTCTTTCTAGCCCGCAGAACCTCTCTCTTCACTCGGCAAATATTGTGCAAACAAAAGCCCATAAATCAAACACGCGAGCAGCCTTTACCGCACTAGTCCATTGTACCGCCACCATGGCACGCATGCCCGTCTCCCCAGACCCGACCAGCCTCCGCACCTCTTCCTTCCGCAAACGTGTATGGCGTTGCAAAATCGTGCTCGAGATTACATTTGGCATATCTTTGCTTGAGCCCTGGGAAAAACTCGTCTTTGATACGTCTAGCCGGCGCTTCCATCTTCCCTCGCACCGTCCTGTAATAATAGAGCAAACGCCAATCGTCATGGCACCCCTTACATTTATGTTCGTCAGTAGCTGCGTTCGCTCCAAGTTGATACCTCAATAGTTCGTTGTGATCTAGCATAGTGTTACCTCTTGGCAATGAATGTGGGGATATGGGCATGGACTTTAAGCATGTGGACTCAACCAGAACTTCAGAGAGCTATAGAGTGTTGACACGACAACAGACAACCCGCCATCACTAAAGTTACCTAATTCTGCATGTTACCACGACGACATATAACCTCCCATTTTCAAAGTTGTCTGATAATTGATTCTGCATGTTGGGACAGTAAAGATCCTTGACACTAGTTGGTAGAACGACTGGTTGTCTGAAAACCAGCGAGTGACTCTACCACAAGTAAACCAAGCAGAGTAGCTACAATATTGGATAAGATATTTTAATGTTGGTTAAGCTTTTAAAAATTTTGAGTAAGAAACAAAGTTGTGGTGTGTTGTGTTTATATCATATTGGGAGATGATGGACCTCAACTTAACTTGAACTTGTTTGCACCACTATAAACCGAATCATTATCAGGGTCTCTCGCTTCTCGACCGCGGCAGTACTTACGCACTCACTGTGCGAGCCTTGACTATTTGCATTACCTCGGGGAGAGTACAGCTAGCCTCGGGCTTTAGTGCTTCCTCGATCAGAAACCACGACGCAGGCTGCCGCCGATCAACTTCTCGGATCCTGGCCCTAATATACGGGCTCAAATTACTCTGCAGTTCGGTGGCTGGGTACGGTACTGCAAGGTTAGACTTTGGTCCTGCTCATACATGATCACGGACCATATGCAATTTACACAGCTCTACCAACGTTTTTGATCTAGTCTACATGGTCTAGCTCTGGTCTCCACCTGTGGCCAGCACTGAGACGGCCTGTATGCTCGATCGACGCAGCTAACAGGACAGCCAACAACAACATACCTAGAGAGTGTATGTCTGGTACTGAATGCCACCGCGTGTTAAGAGCATGATCTCTGTCATGTGAGCTGCTAAGCCACTCGATGACAGGCTCTCATGACCACACGCACAAAACGGCGTCTCAGTGCTCGATGCCCAATGCTTATGGTGTCAACAATGCATGCTCCTGATTTTCTATGAACACAAGATCCGTCGTCACTCAACACTTACATTTTGCTTCACAGCTACGCCCCTATGCTTACTCACGAAATATATTGCGTTGTGCCACCGTCACGTCGTAGGGTCCCTGAGAATACCAACGCTTGCTCTTGGATCCGACACTGTCAGTTTCTTTCTGATAAAGTTTAAAATAAGACACGCTTGAGTCATGCATGGCTCCCAGCAGATCCATTAGCTAACCTATCCTGTCAATACATCGCCGTCTGCCACTACTCCAAGCCAGGGCCTAAGGTTCAACTTGAACGTTCCCAGACAGACATGCCGGCGTGGGTGGCGTTCTGCACAGGATTTCCAAATAATTCCGTCATGCTAACATTCATCAGCTGATTTATGCTGTACCAGTGCATCCATGAATTATCCTTGGCAACGATACGCGTTCAGAACGTCATCTTACGCCCTCTGACGACTCTTTACCTCCAGCACGCACTAATGTGGCTGAGGCCCAAGCGCCGCGTATGGGTCATCAGACTCATCCTCACGCAACCCGGCACCATTACGTGGTTCAAAACGGCTGTCGGGCTGTGTATGTGCTAGATCAGTGACCACTTTCCCCCATTGAGCGCAGGGCCCCGGCCTAATACTAAGCAGTATAGGGAATACGATTGTCCCTGACAGCCCATTTCTTCTAACTAGAACATCGCTACCTCTTTCGGTTTGACACGAGATAGTCTTGGACATTTGGGAAAAAATTTATCATTTGTTATAAGTATATCGGCAAAAGGATGTATTTTATAATAAGAATAAGAGTATGGATACAGTAAGAAGATGTGAATGTATGTAGTGTGATATGTGGTCTATAGTTCTAACATTGCGTGATGCACCAGTCGTTCATACTGCGTAGAATTGTTCGTATATTGTCATGTAAGTCAATGCACGGATTTAAGACGTCATGAAGGTGTTGAGTGAAGGGGGTAAGATGAAGAGGGGTCCCGTAACAGTACTTGGCTGGCATGTGCATGGAACAGAACAAAGAATGCGTAAAATCACCAGATGCGTGTCATATGCATGTTTGGTCGTGAGTGTGGGAGCGAAACGTGAAAGGTAGGGATAGATTATGATATCCCAGATATGATAGGAACGAGTAGAGCACACATGCGTCACGCTTCCCAGTCGTGGCGATGGCCGTGATCCAGCCACCTGGCGGCCCCTTCCATCAGAACGATCGACCAGCGGATTCGAATAGGCGCGATTACGACGGCATTCCGATAACAGCCTGTGTGCTTATGACTGTGGGTTGGTCGCCTGATATAGATATTGGAATAATGGATAACGACACCGCATGGCAAGATCCCCCCTCAGTGGCGGGACCCTCCATTAGTCCATGCAAAAACAAACAAACAATGCCTAAAAGAACTATACCGCGGACGGACGGTTTCCGAAACCCCATTTTGTGCCATACAGTGCATCGTCTGGCTTCGTATCGGGGTGAATTTGGAGCCTGCCTTCCCAGAGGGCAGCAGAGGACTTTGAAGGATCAAAACGAGCAGGGTCCGATAGAGTACCGCGTGATTGTGGTGCCCAGCCAGCTCCGATGGACGATGCAATAAGCGTCGGGACCATGGTCATCAACGAAGGGCTAGAAAAAATTAAGGATACCATCTCGCAAACCAAACACTAGCACGTACAGAGGGACACGTTTATCATTGTGTAGTCTAGCCTGACGACTCTTCACAACGAATGAAGACGAGCGGAGTCGCCCGCCCCGTAGATTAGCGAACGTGGCGAGATTGTCACGCACAAGTTCGATCGCAGAGTTCCATTCACCATCTGGCCGAACTTTGGGAAGATCGCCTTGGGGTTTGGGCAGTAAACGCATTAGGATGAAGAGGCGTTCAAAGGGTCCGTTGGGTAGCAGGCGGATGAGCGCGCCGAGGGGGATGGATACAAAGCCAAGGGCAAGTGAGATACCCCATTCACGACCCCCAATAAACGTCACCTGGAATGCGGTGCCACCAATGAACACGATGATCACTTGCACAGCGATCTCTGCAAACCAGTCGTGAGGGTAATCCAGACATAACATGACTCGACTCACCGATGAGGGTAATAACCATGAAGTACCAATTGTTGAGCATGCCTTCAAAGATGTTGAGCTTCCGATCCAGCCTTCTCGAATTCACCGAGTTGAATATCTGAGCAAAAACAAATGCATTGAAGACCACCGTCTGCACAATAGTGTCATTCCCCGATGTGTCGGCAAGGCCCAGGATCTTGATGCCAAGGAAGTGGAATAGTAGGATGATGATGATCTGATAGACAGACTGCAAAAAGATCTGCTTGTACATATCCACACTGAAAAGCGGCGCCGTCTGCTTATCAGGCTTCCGGTCCAGTAACGTCGGCGACGCAGGGTCCGTAGCGAGCGCAAGTGCAGCGAACGTGTCCATAATGATATTGATCCACAACAGCTGAACAGCCGACAGCGCCGACGTTTCAGAACTAGAAGCGATGGCGGTTACCGAAGTAATCGCCACGGCAGTAATGTTGGTGGAGATCTGGAACTGTAGGAATTTCCGGACTGCGTCGTTCACGCAACGACCCCACATGATCGCCTTGACGATGGAAGAAAAGTTGTCGTCCATGAGAATGATGTCGGACGCCTCTTTGGCTACTTCCGTCCCTGTTATACCCATGGAGAACCCCACGTGCGCCGTCTTGAGAGCGGGTCCGTCATTCGTGCCGTCGCCAGTGACGGCAACGATCTCCCCGAGCTCGCGAAGCTTCTCCACCAGCATCTTCTTGTCTTCAGGCGACGAGCGAGCGAGGACCTGGAGCCGTGGAACGATCTCGAGCATCTGGAATTCATCGAGCTGGCGAAAGACAGGTCCCTCCATGATGACACCACCAGCCGTGTATATACCACACTGCGTGGCGATCGAACGCGCCGTCAGCACATTATCACCTGTACACATCTTCACAGTGACACCAGCTTTATGACAATCAGCCACTGCTTCTCGAACACCATCCCTAAGTGGATCTTCGATCCCGACGATTCCGATCAATGTCATGTCTTGAGCAATGACGTCGTATGGCACCTAGAATCCAATGAGTATGTCAAAATATCACAGAAATATACCTACTTCGTCAATTGCAGTGGATTGCATCCCTGGTGGTGGCCAAGACGGAAAGTCCCTATAGCACAGGGCGATAGTCCGCAGAGTCTGGTTCGCATAGAAAATGATAGTCCTGGAGATATTCTCTTCCGAGAAGCCATCGATCTCTGCCACCTCGACGTCGTCGGACTCAGCACTGGAGCGAGAGCTCCCATGCCGCTCTACAACGACATGGCTGCTGCATAGCTTTGTCAAGATCTCGCTAGCGCCCTTGACGTAGAAGCGATATCCATGCTCGGTCTTGACCACCGCGCCCATAGCCTTGCGCTCGCTAGAAAACGGAATCACCTGCACAACCCTCGCCGCATCCCTCGTCTCCTTATAATCTGCCCACCCAAGTTCCTTCGCAAAGATCAAAAGCGCCGTCTCCGTCTTACTTCCCACGAAGACGCGCTCCCCACTCTCCTTCTCGACATCTTCAAACGCAGTGGAGTTCACAGCGATAGCTGCATTGAACAGTGAAAGAAGGGGCTGGCTCAGAACGGTATTAAGCATCGACTGATCGATGCTGAAATCATCGCGGGGCTCTTTCGAATCAGAGTTCCTGTGTGGGCTTGGGCTTCTATTTGCGTTTGTGCGCGCTTGGTTGTCTTCGAGTTTACGCACGAATTTGGCATGAATTCCAACGGAGCCTGCGACTACGGACATGACGTTGCGAGTGAGCGTACCGGTCTTGTCGGTGCAGATGACGGAGGAGTTGGCCATCGTCTCGCAGGAGCCCAAGACGCGTACCAGGAGGTTTTCTTTTGACATCCTCTTAGTAGCGAATGCTAAAGCCAAGGTCACAGCCAATGGAAGCCCTAATTATAAACACGCTCGTTAGGGCGTAATACGTTTAACGTAAAAGTAGAGCCTTCACCTTCTGGAACGGCAACTACGACCAAGGTAACCGAGATGATGAGAATCTGAACGAACGCCATGCCATTCTGGTCGGCAGACCTGTAGCACACCGGTTAGAAAAGGTGCGGATATCATAGTTGAAATTCGTCACCTGGCAGGCGAGCCCGTAGCGAGTTGCACAATGAACCTGATCATCAGAGCGGAGAAGAGAATGATGCCGGCAAGGCTTCCTAGCTTCGCGATTAATTCAGCCAGAATGTTGAGCTTCAACTGAAGCGGGGTGTGCTCGGTCTCCGTCCTAAGAGCTAATGGAATTGGGGTTAACGGGGGTGTTAGTGAGTAAAGGGATACACACCCATCATGATCCTGCCGTTGAAGCTCTTCGTGCCAACTGCCACTACGAGGTAGCTACCGACGCCTTCCAAAACCTTGCTACCGCTGACGACAAAACAGTCCGTGTGCGTGGATACGTGCTCCCCTCCAAGGGTGCCACCTTCAGTGTGCACACCGCTGAGTGCCTGCTTCAGCGCCAGACAATCTGCATAGGACGCCTTTTTGATAGCATCCGACTCGCCAGTTGCCGCTGATTCGTCACACCTGACGCTGTGCCCGGCTAAGAAGATGCCGTCGCATGGGACAATTTCCCCGGGTTCCAATAATGCTACATCACCGACTACGACTTCCTGTGCACACAGTGAGACAGCGTTGAATTAAATGAGAACAAGCTTACTTTCACATCGATGAGACGTTCGATGCCATTACGAATAACTTTGACCCCACGTTCTTCCTTTTTCTCGTTGAGGGTCTTGAATTGCCGTTCTTTTTGCCAATCATTTATCGAGCCAACGACAACCTGTGGAAAATTGAGCGTTGGATGAAAAAAGGAAGTGTAGCTAGCTTACGACGATAAGAACTGCGATCATAATGGCAACACCTTCCACCCAATCCACTGGGGGTTCGCCGGCAGGCTGAGGCGTCCCAAAATCTTGAAACAAGCCAAGCGCGAGTGAAACAACCGCTGCAATAGACAACAAGACCTTGAAACACAATGGGATTGAAGATTGGGCTTGAACCAATTTAGTAGATACGCACAAGAACTTTATCTTGCAAGGCAAGCCACATGAGGGCAAGTAGACTTTTGCTGGTTCGCTGGGGAAGAACATTCTCTCCAAACACGCGCTTGCGATCTTCCATTAACGCCGAATAAGGGTTGTTAACTTCGACCTCAGCGTGATCGTGGGGTGTGGGGGCGGACAAAGGTTGCCGGTCATGCCTTTGGGAAGCGCTTATTCCAGCACCTAATCTGTTATCCGCAGTGCCGGCTAGAGTTAAACCCCGGGAAGGGTCAGTTCCTAGGCCGTCAAGAAGGCCATCGATACCATCGAAAGCCTCGAGGGCTTCGAGATTCTTCGGGTCGAGAAGACTGGCCAATTCGACCGGTCTGAATTTGAATGGACGGGGGTCGACCAAGTCATCTTGGACGAGTTCAATCTTTGGGACATCGCCGTTGGCTTGGAGTGATTTGTGGCTGTCAGAAGGATTCCCATGGCGATTGGCGTCGGGTGAAGAAGTTGTTGCGACGAGATTTTCAACGGAAATATCGGGTTTAGCGGGCATGGACTTGGAGAGCACGGAGGCGGTGTCTACGTGGGTGTGGGTAGGAGAATGCATTGTGCTTGGGGGATCCGATCTAGCTGGATGAAGGTGAACCATGCCATAATCGCCACCGCTGTGGTCTGGTTCTGTTCCGTCGAGGCTACTGTGACCCTCATGGGAACTTGCGAAAGTTGCATTGCTAGGCTTTCGCTGATGAATTGAGACCTTGTTCATCAAAGGACTGAGCAAATGCAAGGAAGAATGACCGCTGCGCTCATCCGGTTTGTTATCCCTCAAGGACAGTGAGGTAGGGAAATGACTAGAAGACTGAGCTGATAAAGTGGGAGACGGAGGAAAAGTTAGAGAAGCCCCATCGTTTGATGAGACCATGGTAGGTGATGGGGAATGAGAGCGAGAGTCTAGAGAAAATCGACGCTGTGCTTGAGTGTGGGGGGACAACAGGGTTGAATCTGGTTGTGTTCGGGGGGAAGCATTTGTCGGCGGTGAAGCGAATAAAGGGTTTACAGTATGATTTGAGGAAAGGTCAGTTGTGACTATCTCAGGTATGTTACCCTCTGCCATGAGACGTTTTGCTGTTTCGAACAGGAGGGGAAAAAGTTCCAACTGAGGAAACGACTGGCGGATTATAAATGAACGTGACACTCCAAGGCTGTGAGGCGGTGCGGTGGAAGTTTCTATGTAGAATTCTGATCTTAAGGCACAAATTAGGAGGCCTTCATGTTGTGTAATACCAACCAATAATACATGTGTTGCAACGTTGAATACCTGGTATCCAACACACATATCCCATGAAATAATCTTCGACAAGCTGCTGTAGGATGATGGATGTGATGGTTCAGCGACAACAGTTTCCTTTTCTGTAATCGTCGATGTTTTCGCAAATCATCTCCTTTATTGGCACTGCCGCCGCCGTAGTCGAGCTCAAGTTTTATCGGTCACTTATTCATACCGGACGATGCTCACAATCACATATGATACTGCAAGGCTCCCGTGCTACCGATTACTGACCTTGATCTCATGTCAATCTCTTATACTTTCCGAGGACCACGACGTCATTATATACCACGTCTTGCTATTAAATTACCTCTTTTTTACTGACCCCACCGCCAATGCACTCCAGATTCTCAACTTCTTTCAAACATGCACCACCAATGTGCTAAGATGATCACATCTCCTTGGCGCTTGTACTATTCAGGGGCATCCAGCCGCTTCTCCGTCATGTTCTACACAGAATTCTAACAGCCATAACCCCTCATTTGGTTAATCAGTCCGATAAGCGTTCATGCCATGTTCCAACGGAAAGTAACCCCTTTACTTGCTTTGGCATACCAAAAACGTGTCCTGTGGCCCCACCTCAACTACACGCTGCAGTCCTCATTGATTCATCGCGGACTTCATTTCAGAAATCCTCTTACACGAATACTTTAGCCATATTCTATTCTTGGATCAACCAAGGGTCCCTCAGACGCGTGCGTTTGACTTTTGACTTCAAAATAACTGAACTAAGCGCCCAGCGTTGTGGAGAGAAACAAAGCATCGTCCTAACACATCCACCGCCCGATCATGGTGATACTACAAAATAATTCCGCTAGCGGCCCTCGCGTGCGGTCGTGGTGACTGTCAGTATCACACAGCCTGCACGATAAAATCCTGATCATATTAGGCGGGACCATTGCCACGCTGACCACAAAGCCCGCTTCCCGTACAAAGGAATTCTCGAAACACCGGCAACCCGAGCCGAGTATATCATATTCTTTGTCCATTCTGACCACCCCATATACTGCACTCCAAATCTCACTTTACAATTACATTCCATTCACCTTTGCGCTCCGATCGACAACGGCACCCTCAACCGCAGGAATATGGTGATGCTAATGATTGATCCAGCACCGTGGATCTGAACAGTCATAGCATAGCCCATCTAACAGACTCTTATTGCATCTGCTGGTTCGCCGCCGCCGCAACCCTGCAATGAGTGGCGTTCTGTCAAGAATGACGTTTGGGGACTCGAACTGAGTTGGCTTATGCAGACAACTCATGAAACGCTGTGCTTCTCGTGGTGTCACATCCGACCCGCAGTACGTCTACATACTTACGTCGGGTTGGCTAAACTGCGGCCTAGTCTCGTCGGCAGTCGGAACCAAACCTTAATCACCTTTTCGTCTACACCGTCGGCTAGTTCCGTTTTATCCAATTGCATAGCCAATATAGTAAAATCCCGCCTTTTTCCCTAACGTATATTTCAAATTCTATGCCAGCGAATGTCAAATTTAGTAATTTTTTCATGGCTGTACAGCCTCCGCCATTCTTTTCCATTAGAACGTTGCAACCTTTTAGAAAATACCTGTGGAAGCCTTCCTATCGCTTTAAATATGATACACACCTACTCCGCTGGCTAGCCTCTCTATCATGGAAGATATCGCACCGAAATGCGTTATTAATTGGTGTGCGTGAGTTGTATTCCATATTCCATATCCCTCAAATGACCTTGGTCGTTCTCGAAACGAAGGTTTCTATCCACGAAAAACCACGGTAACCTGGCAGGTACGATGTCACGTCACCACCTAATATCCAGGAAGTAATGACCGCATGCATCCTGGGTTGTCGTTATCGACGAAGCCAACATCATGATTAGTTCAAACAGAACATTCTGATCTTTCTAAATGAGGCCTCAGGCCAGAGGTCCAGCCAAGTCCCTCACGATAGATAGTGTAAAAAATAGATCCCGTAGCTGGCAGCCATTGGCCCATGAGGAACGTTGTCATATATTCCTGTTCCTATTTGGCGTGGACGGGTCTCTGATCGAAATCCAATTCAGCAGCCATGGCATGTACCCCGCCAATTGCTTGTGATGACATGCGCCTCGGCTGATGGAAAATCACACCGTCGGGATATCTGATAATTCGAGCACGTTGCGCAGTCACTGCGCATGTGATCATCGTGATAATCCAAACGTCATCTCCAGGGAATCGGGACTGCGATTTATTCATAATTCGGCTGTCCTCCCCTGGTACATTATTCGAACTACCCCTGTACGGTGATATTGATCGTGTCAGTGTCGGTACTGAACTTGTGCCCCGGCGTAGATGGGATCACTGGCAACCGACCAAGGCAAGAGCGGACATGAGGACGTAATGCATGCATGTCCTTGGCGAAAATGGTCTAGCGCAGGAACACCAAAAAAAACTACTTACATGAAACCTGCACAGGATATCTGGAATGCAAACTTGCCTGTTCCGGCATGCGTGTGCATTGGGAGGCGCGTTATTCAGCCCACATCCCTCAAACACGACGTTAACTTGAACTTAATGTATCAGGATCTGTCATTTGAATAGCCGATGGCGGTTTCATCGTGTTGCAATCGGCGAACATGATCATTGACGGTGCTCTACGTTCAAGTTATGGCTCGTACATCGCATGGTGTGCAAAAACAGCTCTTAGTTCGGCGCGGATATGAGTCAGTGCTTATACAGACGGAGCCCGTGGATCGCCAACGTGCTGGACGCCCAAGTAGACCCATCCTATACCCATCCTTGCGATCAAGAAGGACCTGCGATATCACCCTGCTGTGCTGACAGCCCTTGACAGATACCTTTCTTGCGACACAGAAAAAGTTAGCGATCCGACCCACCTGAACTCAATCTCGGTAAGTGTTTCGCCTCCGGATGATGTGACTATCAATACTCATACTAATAGTGGCGGTCAAGGGAATCACGGTATCCTAACAGTGGCGTGTGCTTTGGGAAGAGTGCATAGCCTGAGACATCGGCGAGGGCTGGGTTGCCTATTCCTAGGGCTCGTCTGAGTCACCTGGGAGGTTATCATGCAGACCCCCAGAACTCCCGACGTAAGTGACTATCATTCCACAGGACTGGTCCGTTAATTGGACCTTTTGTTAATTGGGCCTATCTAACAGCATTGCTGCGCTGGAGGGTTATATAACTTGTATTTCGAATCCCAAACAATTCGATCGACCATATGACTCGACCTCGCGCGTTACGCCGACAAACATGGAAAACATCCGGTGGCAAAATTGGAGTCTTGTTGTGCATCTCGTGGAGACACATCAGAACACTGCTTAAGTTCGAACCTTGTTTTACGAATGCAGAGAAGACTAGGGTATGGATTCTAGAAATGCGTTCAGCTCAGCTGACTCGACGCCCCTACCCATTGACAACGAAGTCCTTGGCATGACTGTATATTAGAATGTGTCACTTCACAATATTCACACTGCGATCGTGAGTCACCCGCTGAGAATGAGGGTGTTAATAGTAATACACTCTGACAGGTCCTGCGCCCCGTTTCGTGTCAAAGGGCTTTGGTCGAAGCTCTTAAAAGGTGCTCAAGTAGAAGTTAACTTCGAACAAAAGTGAAACCCTAAGCCGCTCGTGCTAAAACAAGTAACCGGTTGAGGCCTGAGGGCCCATGACGTGATGGTTCTAATTCATTTCTCAAAGGAACGGCGAGCAACTTTATGCTTTTCTCGAAGGTCTACAGAGAAACTTGACGTAGGGGCTACCGGAGCGCCCATCCACAACCCCTGATATTCCGTCACCAGCTCAGGTGTTTCGCACTTGCGAAAGAAATTCTCGAAGGAGTTCATGAAACAAACGAGTGGTCACGGGTATGCATGCCAGAAAACGTGTTCACCTCATGCTACTATGTACTACTTTACTCTCCAGCGTCAAGTAATGTGAGACCCCATCTATGTTCTAGAAAACCATCGAAGATATGGAATAATCATATGGAACAGCCAACGCATGGCACCCAAAGTCAGGCGCAAAGTATGCGACACGATTATCCGACCCAGTGCCTAAATATAAGTCATGATACTTGCCTTCCCAGATGTCTATACACCCGGGCTTACCACCTGCGGCGTAGGCACTTGGCCGCCAACGAGCTCGCTACCTGCGCCTTCGTCGTTCTTCGGCTTTAACTCGGCCTGACCCTCCTTGTCCACATCGTCTTGTTTGAGCTTGCTCATTTCCTTGATGAAGCTCGTGCCCCAAAAAGCCGCGGAGTATTTGTTGACGTATTTGAAAAGCTTGCGGTGGTTCTCAGCGCGCGTCTCCGTATCCATCGTGACAGCTTCGTGAATCGCGTCTGCGACTTGTTGAGGATCCCACGGGTTCACGACGATTGATCCGTTGAGACTCTGTGCGGCTCCGGCGAATTCTGAGAGGATCATTGCACCCTGACGAGCCTGCTGGCAAGCAATATACTCGTACGAGACCTGATGGTGATGACGTCAGAATATCACCCCACAGGTGAAGAAGTGAGAAGATTTACCAGATTCATCCCATCTCTCGTGCTGGTCACCAAACAAACATCACTAATCGCGTAAAGGGCGCACAGCTCATCGAAGCCTAGACTCTTGTGCATGAAGTGTATCGGCATAAATTCGACTGTACCAAAACGACCGTTAATGCGACCAACAAGCTCGTTTACCGTCGACCGTAGGTTTTGATAGTCTTCGACGTCTTGTCTAGACGGCACAGCGAGCTGGACTAACACGACCTGATGATGGATGCGAGTAAGTCAACCATGCATTCACAAGAAATCCCACACTAACTTTTCCGATCCACTCAGGGTGCTGCGTTAAGAAGAGCTCAAGAGCGTGGAGTTTCTGGGGAACACCTTTGATGTAATCTAGACGATCAACCCCAACAATAACTTTGACTCCATTAAAACGTTGTTCTAGTTGAGCGATGCGAGATTTGACGGATTCCTTCTCTAGGTTCTGTACGTTGTTAACTTTAATGAGTCATGTAATTTTACGTTGTGATACATACCTTGATGAATGAAGCAGGTTCAATGCCAATAGGGAATGTTCCAACGTGAGCTAAGCGGCCCTCAAACTCAACACCGTTGGGCATTGTGGGCAAACCAAGGATGCGCGTGCAAGAAGACAAAAAGTGACGAGCATAATCGTAAGTGTGGAAGCCAATGAGGGTCGCAGAAGAGGACACCCAAGAGAATTTCCCGACGAACGGGGAGGATCCTGAGACAGGGTCAGCAGGGTGATCGAACAATAAAGGAAGATCACTTACCTGTAAATTTCGCTGCTGGGGAAGGGTGTGTGCAAAAAGAACCCTATCTTGACGTCGGGTATTCTCTCAGAAGAGATGTTAACTTCCTCTTCGATACCCTCCGCGATCTTGGTCAGCTCTTGTTTCTGGTATTCCCCTCCAGATGACCCGTCAACGAGGCCGCGTAGTATCATGGGAAGGAGCATGAGGTGATAGTCCTGCACCCACACCATACTACCGGGTGTGATTTGCGAGCGTACTGTTTCAGCAAATCGGAAGTTGGCCTGACGGTACATGAGCCAATTCTCCTCATCAAAGTTCATTTCTCCGGGATGGTAATGGAATAGTGGCCACAAAATAGAATTAGAGAAGCCGTTGTAATGCCCTTCAGCGACGTCATCATCAAGATATACAGCTTGACAAGAGTATTCCTCCATGAGACGCTTGTCGACATAAGCTCGGTCTTTCGGTGGAATGTAGAAACCCGGCCAACCGATCCAGGTGAAGCTCAACGACTTCTTGAAACCGGAAAGGGCTGACACAAGCCCTCCAGAAGACATTTTGAAGTGGTATTCACCTGAAGCATCTTTCGTGATTGTGATGGGTAAACGGTTGGCGACGACGATGAGGTGTTTGCCCTCCATATCTGCAAAGTTTTCGGCGGAGGTTGGGAAGATAGAGGGTGCCATAGAGCGACGAAATTTATAAGTCAGATCTCCTTGAAAACATGCAGGAGAGGCCGAATACGGGTGATTATCGGATCTGTTATGACGAAATGGTAGAAGGGTAGCGAAAAGGCTGGCAAACGTTTGTGAGATCAAAATCCTATCGTGAAAAATGTCTAGATCGATGGCTGAAGAGACTTGTCGATTGATCCAGCTGGTTGGCGGTTGGTTGAGTTCTAGTTGCTTATGCTTTCTGCACTCCAGTCTTCTGCGTCATGAACGTATCATAGTATGGGAATATCTGAATCTGCTATGGCCCCGCCTAGTCCAGGTAACCGGTTTGGTCCGGTCCCTGTAACAGCGCCTGGCTTTCATGCCCATACTACTTAATGGTGTCACTACAACAACCAGTAAGAAACACACACATCGATCAACGTGTAACGATGAATGGACGAAGCTATATATGTATAGTCTACGTAGAAGCATGAATAGGCGCCTCACAATGTTCCTTTTGACTTATATGTATTTGGGGATCGTTTGATCAACACGAGTGAGTGATCTTATCAGCCTGCATGTGCATTAGATGATGAGCGTGACGGTAAATAACATGACACGATGCGTAATCTAGTCGAAGAGACCGAAACCCTGCAAACCATCACGTAAGGTTATTTCCATTTGTGCAAACCAAGAGCAACTTACCATGTCATCGTCAGACTCCTCCTTCTCTTCGGCCTTCTCCTCAACCTCAGCCTCAACAGCAGCAGATGCGGCCTCAGCGGCAGCAGGTGCGGCGACGGCGGCAAATGCGTCAGGGTTCTCCAAGTATTCCTTGGCCTGCGTGAAGAATTAGCTTCGTTGCTCGGCATAACTCGACAAAAATTCAGAAACAAGATTTGTGCATCCGTGAAAGTCAGCATTTTCAGTGTGTATGTTTGAAGCATCTCAATATTAAATGAATCGAATTTGAACTGACCTTCTGGGCACCCTCGAACATGTAGTCGGTAGACAAGCACAGAGCAATGAGGTTCTTGTACGAGTTGACAAGCGAGTGCGTGACCGAGACGACGGTGGGGTAGTTGAGGGCCAATGAGATGGCAGCAATGGTCTGGATACCGGACATGAAGCGGTCAATGAGCACCTTCTCATCGATATCAAGAACTTCAGGAGCGAACGCGTTTCCAGAGTCGAAGATCTGGACGACAGTCATTACCGTACGTGAACGGTGAGATGTTCAACATGTTGAGGAGAGTAGCCTCGGATGGGCCGACACGGCTACCAGCGGTAACGACCTGGACCTCGGACGAAATTTCAATGGTACCACGAGCGATTTTGGTGGGGATACCGAGGGCCTGGAAGAAGGAGGGTCTTTCCGGGCTCCATACCGGTGTTTCCGGCGGGGACGAAGACATCCTTGGGGGCATAAGCACCGGCACGAGCGGGGGCTGCGATCTTGTTGGCAACGATGATTTCCCTAACCTCCTTGAGGTCTTTGTCGGTGAAGACGAAACCGATGTTACCCCTGACGTGGGGAAGAAGACGCTCGAACTGGGGGTTCTCCGAAAGGATAGTACGAAGAGCGCGGCGAACCATAGTGTTCTTGCCCATCAAGACGACACCTTTGCCACGGAGGGCAACACGAATCTGGTGCATTTGGTTGGAGCTAACATTGTCAACGTTGACGATGAAGATGGAGGCTGCAGGCGCGTTATTAAAAAAGGATTGTTGGATAAATAAAACTACTGAAACGCACGATACTTGGAGATAAGTTCCTTTAGTTTGATGAAGTAAATTTCCTTTTGCGCGCGAGTAGCACCCATTGTGATTTCTGATACACCACTGTTAAAGTGTCAAGACATGGTGATAAGTTATGTTACTCACATGAATATACAGATGTGATTGTTTTAAGTAAAAATCAGTGCCTCCCAATTGACCTCTAAAAGTCTGTCAGCCAAATCACTTTCTGATCTAGCAATACGCACCAGCAGCGTGCCAATGGATTTTTCAAGGCGACCGACTGGATGAGGATTATGTGAATATGTGTATCCGGCGTTCCCGCTAAAGTTTCGATCGACCGGGAAATGCCTTGCAGTTCAAAAAACAAGGTTCCAAGCCCGCCGGGACATTCCGATCCTTATGTTCACCTTGTAACGTGACGTGTAACGCGTCGTATTCCCAATTCGTTCATGCCATGGAATGTTGCGATGGTGTCTGTCGACCGTCCGAGTGTTGGGCGGCGTCGACGGTGGTCAAAGAATCAGGTATTTAGTTTTTATTTTGTATATTAAACGCGCGTTTTTGACCGTCGTTCAATCTTAGGTTACTGTCTTCTGCTAGCGCCCATGTCCAAGAATGCTTGCCGCGCAGTGCAGGGACCCAGGACACGAGCAAACGATCTTTCAGGACATCAGATGATCTTCAGGAGTCTGGTCCGTCCAATAGCACTCGCGCCATAAGTGCTCTCCAGGAAATCCTAACGTCCCCTGCCCTGGTTCTGGACCCTTCCAGGAGGCCGACACCCAATACTATTCGTTCATTTTATATCTCCGCAAAAGCACGGGACCAGTTGTCGCAGCTCGACTCAGGAATGCTTAGCGCTTTGATTGGTCTTTTTGCGTCATTGTCTGTTGACTCAACAAGAAGATGTGTGTATACTAGTTCACTCCTTCCCTATGTGAAAGATGGTCCTGTAACTCGCGACTATTGGGCATTTGTGAAGGAGGTTGTATCATTAAAGCAGCAGAGGGGCATGAGACTGGTGCATTCAGACAGATATTGGATGATGCGAGCCGAGTTGGCGAGCCTTTCCCCCTCCAAAGATGGCCAGCCCGGTTGTAAGATTATTTATCACATTCGTTCGTAGTTCGGTCTAATAAAATCGAGCAGATACGCACCCATCTGATCGCTCTCTGTTCCGCGCCCGAAAACAATACCTCCACTTTTCTCGACATGTTTTCGATCCGGATGTCCACGTCCAATATCTGACAGCGCTTTTATCCAGCACGAGCCCTCTTCACAAGCAGTGGGCCATTGATGCGATGACCTCCATCCTTCTCACTCATCCGTTTCTTCATGCGAAAGTGTTGAAAGTGTTATTGGGGATAGTTCATGACACAGACACCGAACATTTGAGATCCATTCTATCAGCTATCTCAATCCGGGTCACCCGTTTTCCGTCGCCGTGTGGGGATACTACGAAGGCTCCTATGGCTGTTCCTGTCGATGCCACCACCTTCACGTCCGCTCTTTCGGTATTTCCATTACCCGTGCCAAGTCCCTCCCCCCATATGAAAGTCATCACGGAGTTGCTGCACGAGGCTTTTTCATCCAACATTCCACTAGTCCATCGGCGAAGAAATCTGCTCCTGTGTTCACTGCTGTATAGCTGCAACAGCGGTGGAATTCCTATTTCATCGCTTGATTTTCCTCTGGATGGAGGTGCATCCGTGTGGCAGACCCTGTTCGCCCTTGCGATTCTCGAAGAGGTTACGCGAGCCGCGGGTCCAGCCCTTCTTCACGATCGTGCTCTCCGCGGACGTATACAAGAGATGATACATTCTCTTCATGAGTCCTGGCTGCACCTCGTGCCCAATGAATCGCACCCCACTCTCATTTCACGTGCTGTTACGACTTCTCTTTTTCGCCTCTCCGCTGCGGTTGCAGATCCGAAGCTATTCGCGGCGTGCCTGGAATCGAGTACAAACTTCGGACTTTGGACCGGTGATTCTTCAGACACCGTAGAGGGACCCCAATTAGCAGCAATGGCAGCGATGCATCTTGCTGCCTTTATGCAAGTCCGTGGGTGTGGAACGGAATTGGTCATAAAGACGTTGAGTTCCTACTCCACTGACGTGCAGCACCAATGTGCTGTTGCGTCTGCGGCTGTCAAAGACCTCATTCATCGTGATGTTGAGCTCGCCCGCATATTGTACAACATTACTATCCGCAGTGGCCGCGACATTGATGTCGATACCACATATACTCTGGCTAGGACACTCCCACCTCATCATGCTGTGGGGTTTCTTATGCACGAACGATTCTCCCGAGTACAAGTAGGAGGCCTCCTGAGCAGTATTGCTCGTTTCCTCAAGGAGACGAGGCATCAACATTACGATGCTGATCTGTTCAATGACGTTGGGATTTCCCTCCGCAAATTCTATGCGATCTCCCCTCCCCCAATTCACTTCCGTGGGCACCTTCAGCTTCTTCTAGCCGAGCTATGCACGCGGGGCAGGGGGTTCCAGACCACGGCTATTATTGCTAACGTCATCAAATTCCAACCGACCTTCTTTCAATCCTCGTTCTTGCTGCGGCTAGTTCGCCTCTTTTTGCGCCGCAAGCAATTTCGTTGCGCATTGCGAATGCAGAAAATTTTAATTGACGCACGCGGGGGATGTACTACCAACCTACGTTACATGGTCACTACACGCCGCTGTGTGACAGCTAGTAGACACCTATCCACGAAAGGGCGCAAGTCGTATACCCTGTTTCGAGGTGGCTGTTTCTGGGCAGCGGGGACTTCATTCAAGAGCGTTATGAACAGTGGCCCAGTATACAACAGAGTTCTACAAGATTTAATCTACGCTAGGCGACCGCATGCTGCAAAGGTCGCCTTTAGTCGTGTTGCAAGCAAGGTGGACACCAAAAGCCGGACAATCCTAGGCAACACGCTTTTGCATGGTGTCGTAACACGTCCGGTCCCAAGAAACGGCAGACGTGTTCGGAAGCTCCTGGGACTCCTCAACAACCTCGTGAGCTACCAGCAGTTTGCGCCTGACAGGATAACTGTCAACATCATTTTGAAGGCGTTGATAGCTTGGCGGACTGCTTTCGATTATCGGCGTTTACGCGCGCTGTTCGACCACATGGTTCGTGGTGGATACCCTGCAGGAATCTATTCCCCTTCCCATCCGCCCTTTAACACCCCGATTCTGCGCACCAGTGGAACGCTCGCGCTGTCGAAGCTTCCGCCTTACATATCGTTTGAGAAGCATGCGAAGCCGATGCTCAAGATGTTTATCAAGGCATTTTATCTGCGGAATGATGTGGAGGCTGCACGCACGGTGGTAGAGATTTTGAAAATCGAGCAGCAGAAAGCTACATTGCAGAGAGAGCAACGGTCAGTGGCGCGTTCGAGAGGGTGGATGAAGGCAGAGAGTAATACGAGCCGCAGGGATGACACCACTCATGTTCATAATAATAGATCATAATAGACTTTGGCTGCTACTTTGGGGAGGAACTGTCGAAAACTCCACCGCCGTTTGTTTATCGCACGGTATCGCGTTGCGATCACAGTAGCTTAACTATGTGGTGTATCGAACAAAAGGTATCCACAGGTTTAAACGACGCTAGTTTGAAACCGGTTCCGGTTATGTAAACAGTTTTACTGCTGTGTACTGAGAATTTACTTATTGTAGTGGCTGTGCTTGCTGTATTATTTCATTTTGCAGTGTCGGTGGCACTGGTGACTCTGTTTTATAAACGACCATCATCTACACTTAACTTCACTCTTCGACATGTCGATAACTACAGAAGTCGTTTCCGTTAACGGTTTAGATTCGAGTTCATCAATATCTATCCGAGCTACCAAGGTAAGCAGAGTATTGAAACTTAACAGGCCCCTACTGAGCAGCATGTCTTAGCGCAAATTCGATGATGCCCTCCAAAGCCTCGACAGTGCCGTAGCTCCAGTGAAACCCTTACCTGAAAGGCCAACAGCTCCCAAACGACCACACATGACTCGCTCTCTCTACTCTACGCTCGCCAAGTATGGGATCCAGACCAACATACCAAAACCACCCATCGAGTCAGTCAAATTTCGCGGTTTAGGACTTGGAAGTCTCTGAACTTTCTCTCGTCTTGCTCTATTCTAAATAGTACTCTGGATAAGCATGATATTTCTAAGGCAGCTCCTCACCTGGCTGCGATCTTGGCACGCTCCAAGAGCAAAGGAGCTACCCCTTTTGCATACCCCAGCCTTCCAGCATCAGCTTCACTCGCCTCAGAATACCGACCATCTTCTACTCAGTCATTTTTATCTCGTCTATCGACCTACAAGTTGGCGACATACGCAAACAAGCCGCCCCAAATTGACGCTGTTGCTGCAGCGAAGTGCGGTTGGATAAACGATAGCAAAGACAGGCTAGTGTGTGGAATTTGTGATGTTTCATGGGTTGTCGCGGGGCGAGACGGCATGACACGAGAAGCCGGTAAGGTTTAGAAGGTAGGTAAATGACAAGGTACACTGCTGAGCGTTTTTTCTTTCCGTCATAGCCAATGCCCTTGTTGAGAAGCAGCGCATTCAATTAGTAGAGATGCACAAGGACGGATGCCCTTGGCGTACTAGGCAGTGTGATTGTGAGCTTTTTTTGTCGAGCAGCACCTCGTCTCTTTCCTCACCTAATTCATTAGCATCGATTTACCGCGTGCCGCTGCAAGCACCGGCTGTCATGGCACGGGACATCAAATCCAATGCGCTCGCTCTAGAGCCTCTGTTGACAGACGTCGTGATCAAATATCCATTGGTAAGTCAAACTGCAGCATTTTCCTGTGTGGTGCTTATTCATTCCATCAGTCGGTCTCTCAGCTTGCCTCACTTCGTTCAGCAATTGCCTCAGTCAAGCCTCCTCAGGCGCAATCCGAATCTGAGAATGAGTCGGCAATGCACGTTGATGCAGGCCCTGAGCCATCTGATACCGCAATTGTGACTGCCCTCTTCGGCTGGTCATTGGCTCCGCCTGCTCCTCCCTCTGAACGTAATCGCACTCCATCACTTTCTCGAATAGCTACCATGTCCAGACCAGCTTCCCCATCTCTCTCTAGATCTTCATCAGTTTCGCGTACCGTTGTGTCGGGGCGGGCAGATTCGCCGTCTCCGAGGCCCTCTTCACCCCTTACTAGTATCTCACAGTTGGGAGGTACACATTTACGCCCGCGTATGCCACGGCTGAGCGACATCGGGAAAAGCACTCGGGATGCATCTCTTCTACACTGTTCCTTGTGCCAACGACGCGTCGGCCTTTGGGCATTCACACCTCATTCTACTGCATCACCGCTAGACGGCAGCCCGCTACGACATTCATCAACAAAGAAGAGGCAGTTTGATGTGCTGAATGAACATCGATCGTATTGCCCATTCGTCGTCCCCTCAACGGTGGTACCGAAACTGCCCATGCCTTCTACCTCGCCTCTTTCTGCAAACGTAGCGGCAGATGGGGCAATTGAGGGGTGGCGTGCTGTGCTGACCGTTGTGCTTCGACACGGATTGAGTGAGCGGCAGCGGAATGCACGCTTATCACTTTCCGGAGGGGATCATGAAATAATGCAGGGTATTGATGACGAGCTTGAAGGCGTAGAAGCTATGGTAGCAGGAGTAAAGAGCCAAGGGGTGAGTTTATGCGCACAACTAGACATTTTCGATCGAAGACTAACTGCACTTCTTGCAGGGACGAGAACTATTGAAATATGTCAAAGGACTGTTGGCTTGATGTGTATCTTGTATTCATGCTTGCTTGATTTCATCGTTTGCTTCGCATGTATCTCCAATCTCGATATCTCCCTGACCGAAGAAAGACATCAGATCGTCCTGGTACGAGTAGGAATCTACACAGTACATTAGTCAATGAATAATTATCGGTGGAAACAAAGGTATGCGGGACCAACAAATTGCAATCTGGATCAACCTGCAACTTCATCACTAAAACTTTTCAACTCGTCTCTATCTGTCAAGGAGATATTACTCCTCTCGCACATTCCGAAATCCTGCCCTTCTTGAAAAGATTGGATGGAGTGTCAAATTCCTTCGATAGAAGTGCCAGTGAGTACCGACTGCTGAAAATCTTTCACTAGCGCACAAGCTAGAGACCTTTCTCCAACACTAAGGTTTGCTCCAATCGTCTTGTCAAGGTCGCCGGTTCTAAGTCTCGTCGAAGGCAGAGTTGAAATGAATTGTACTGGTAACCACTGACTGGAAGAACTTGATCGGTCACTCAGATCCAGCATCCTGATTGTAACCTATGCGTGGCGTCGCGCTGTTCCAGTTCAAGAGCTCCGAGTCTGTAGGCTGGATCACCTGGAAATTATCCATAATTCAACTAGAACCTCATACTTACCTGACAAAATTCTCTGCAGTATGAGTTTCACTAGACAGCAACGTACAGAAATTTACAGGATATATCGATCAAATAGCAGTGTCATTGATTCGTAGAAAATGGCGGGGAAATAATCATGACAAGATCCAACTTTAGTTTAATATTATTGTGGGGACAGGTACATACATACCCCTTTTGCTTGGTTGTGTGACCGAATTATCTAATGCTTCAACTTCTAGTTTCTATTGTTCTGGTCACGAGTCTCCTTCGTGTACAGTACACTTTTTCATAATGCATACGTTAGTAATGTATAAATCTCATCTTGTATCGAGTTTTGGCAGCTCCCATCGTGGTATGCGGGTAGACGCCCAAAAAATTGTATAATGTATAATGTATAGCCTTTGGAGGTCCGATATACACTATGAGATATGGTTTGTATCGAGTAGGACTACTACTGAGTTGCCGGAAGCTGATTCATAACAAAGTTGTAAGATGAACAATTTTATAGACATTCTAGTTCCAATGGTGCGCAGCCCTAAGAAACGCCAGCCACGTCTAAAACCCACCCATACAAGCAGAAACCAAATACACTTCACCAGAAAGATGGTCCTGTGGCAATATCCACGAAGCTTTCTGATACTAGTGGGTGCAAGAATCTTACCTTGATTGACTGGCTGATGGGTCTTGCATACATCGATGAACATTCAGACTCACCCATGCAGCACGATCGTAATATTAAGTAGCTCGAGGTTGCATCATGATGTATTGCGCAAGCTGGCGCTGAATTTTCACTTGATCTTATTCACAAACTCCGTACATTCTGAGCAACACTACGGTGTGAGGAATTGCAGAATCCAAAGCAGGCTACATTAGATTAATTCTGGAATAACAAGCAACATACCGTTTCGGTGTACTCACTGAATGTATTGATTTCTGGACATGTGTTGCCAAGTAGCGCACATCGACACCCCCAATCTTGGTTGACCCCTCTGCCGTGGGAATTATTTGGTAGTGTATATCTCTCATATTGTATAGCGAAAAGGCAGCTCCCGTCGCTATACATTATGAAAAAGTGTACTGTACATTGTGTCTAGTGCCACGTCTATGAAATGAAGAAGCGTCATGTACAGAGATATGTATAACTCATTGGCCAGCAGTGTTTCACCGTTCAGGACTATTGCCGATCAGTGGCATTTCATCGGCACATTACCAGCGTCAGAAGTCTGCTGGCACATCTGTTTGAAGGGGTATTTCAGGTGGACAGTTTCTGCACATAAAGGCAAGCTATCCTCCCACCGTCCCCTTCAGCTTGATTTTTGCGATCTCATATCACAAATAATGCGTCTCTCTTTCATCCTCGTCGTCCTTGCTGCTTTCAACCTGACAGTGTCTATGCCTATCAGTGACATGATTGCCTGCGTCTGCGACCCAACTAACTGCGGAGACGGAGAAGTCATAGACTAACTCCACCCATGTGAGCAGGAGTAGTTTTCATCCAACTCCATGACTCACTGGCGTGGTAGACTACAATCATGTCTGTGTGTGTGTTAAGTGCGTCTCGTTACTGCAAGCCAACCAACATCCACCAATAGCAGCTACTAGATTCATGTCATTTGCAACTGTTCATATGAGTCATCTCATCTTCGATGGGTTGCGCGTCTAAAACGGCCGGCGGGAACGGCGGACTGATGGGGCACGTCTCACATCAGGGCATTCGCGAACTCAAAGATGCGTTGGGAGCACCGGGGGCCCCCTGGACTAGATAGTATTGTCCTCCATAGAGTACTACTCTCCATAGGACATAAAAATTGAATTTAAAAAAAGGGGGGGCGTGTCTAAATCGGCTGGCGGGAACGGCGAAGTGATGAGGGCACGCCTCACATCAGGGCATTCACGACTTCAGAGATCAGGAGGGACGCTGAGGTCCCATAGATCAGAAAGTACTGTCCTACGTAAAGTATCATCCTTAATGCAATGGACAAAAGCTGGATTATGTTTTTTTCACAGAAAAAAAACAGGCCTGTCACTGTGTGCCAGTCGGTGCCCTGAGCTACAGCCTACAGCCTAGTGAATCGCGCTGCTGCTTTCGCATTGGCGCAGTATCGTTGACGGCACTACATAGTACACATAAGTAGTTTGTTGCTGAGTGCTGAGTGCTCGGTTGTGAACAAACCTCACTGCTCTTAGAAAGATCACGAATACTTGACTGCATAAAATATGACTGAAGTACTGACCATTCGGATGCATCATGTTTCGTCTCGTTAAGCTTGCCGAAACCTAGGCCCGTAGTGCTGTTGGAGTTAGTTGTTGACGCGCTCGACTCGGAAGGAGCCGAGATAGCGGCTTAAACCCTAAACCGTCGGTGGTTACATACAGTAGTCAGTCTTTAGCAAACGCTACGCGTTTGCAACGGGTTCCCTGTACATCGAGTTTGATCGTACTTTGAAGCACGCGCCTGAGACTTGCGGAAACTCCTATAAGTGCTACTCAGCAACAAGCTCTACGAGTCAATTGAAGGCGTTTATCGAATACCCCGAGGGTTTCCCGACGATGCAGGAGATCTTGTCGATGTTCTCTTCCAAACACGGATTATGATGCGATGCACACCCCTTCCTTCAATCAGCATGACGGGATCCTCATCCAGCATGCTGAAACTCACCACTGCCAGATGCCCTGCCCCAGCACACCAGCTCGCCCAATCTCATTTTTATAATCCGAGATGTCAAAAATGTGCCATGACGTATGATGCATTGATGATTGTACTGGAGACAAGTAGCATCCCCGCGCTGAGCGCGGGGATGCTACGGCGCGCTCGCATCGTTGAAAATGACCAGTGTCGAACAACATACCCAGCAGTCCAATATATCATTTTATTTTTTCACGAACGAGTGTGTCTGTTATCCACATCATACCGTATACACTCGTTCGCGAAAAATAAATGGAATTGAGTGGAACTAATAATTGGATCATACCACCCTGATTTTCGAAAACATACCTTACCAAAGGGCAATCGGTTCGCTGATGTACGCCGCGACAAGTACACGACCACTGATCAGATCGGCATTCCACGATTGTGCTGGCCTGAAAGTCGGGTTCTTCCTGTCTCAATGCAACAGCTGGATATGTGATTTTCGGGCGCCGGATCCTTCCGCCAAGGACAATGAATATAGCATGAAATATTTTACGGGTATGTTACCGTATGTATGCATATGTTTGAATCCGTATCATCACGCCAGGCCACTGGCATCCGTTGGCGACCCCCTGTACTGTCGCACCCACATCTCGTGTAGAGGGAAAATGATCTTCCGGAGTATTAAATGAATGGGCCACAATACGCGCTGCAGGAAGGTAGCCTGGCGTCTGTGGACCCAGTTCTGTCTCTGAAGCACGACGACGACGTAAATCGTGAGAAGCGTGAGCGAAACGGTGGCCACCACGTAGTGACCGAGTGTTTGTGTCCCATTATTAATCTCTTTGATGTTCATCGTAAAGATAGCCTGAGGACATATGCAGTCAAAAAGGATCTGCACACAAGACCTCTATGCTTACCGCAATGAAACCCGCCGGTAGGAAGACTAACGTAAGGTATGAGAACCTCTGCATCCGCCTACTGTCCTCAGCATTAACGATCGCAAACGCAAGGTCCATCGCATTCTTCAGTCGACTGCTCAGCATCGTCCGTCGCCTTTCTAGACGATCAATTTCGCTGAGTAGATTATTGCACTCCTTCTTCATAAGTGCATCAGAGTCCCTGCGCTCTTCGTCGGTAACTCCATGGGACTCCATGGCTGGATTGGGGGTCGTCTCGAGAAACTTTACCGATACCTCGAAGCCATGAAGGAGTGATTGGTAGTGCAAAAGACGCGCTTCGAGGACATGCAGGTCATGTGTAAGTGAGATATTATCCAGATGCAGTACTTGTCGTTCCTGGATGTGCTTGAGCAATATCACTTCTACGTTGCACGAGAGCTACATACCAGCTCACTAACATAGCTGTATAGCAAATCAAGGGACTCATCCCATTCATATAGCGCATACCATAAAATTGCGAGAAGGAGGAATGTCGGGTCTTTGGAGTTGTTGAATATTTTTTGCCAGTACACACTTTCCCCCACGAGCTGTATGAGCGAGTGGAGATGCTTCGCAGATGTTCGATCCCCTGTAGACTCGGGATGATAGGATATGATAGTGTTTTCTTCGTCGCGGACCATGTGGACTGCGAGGAGGTCAATGAAGAGCATGCGACCATCTAGGAGGGACGTTTGAGTATGAATGCATTATTGTAAGAACATCAATACAAATACCTCTTGTTGAAAAAGGAGCCTGGATATCGATCGCATTTGCCGGAGGTAAATCGGAGGTGATCACGAAGTGCCATGGTTCAGGGTCAGTTGGCGATGGGCGAGTGCGTGGTGATAGCGATTTCTGTTCTGGTCGTAAGAATGGTAAGGTAATAGTGATATCTATCACGCACATGAGCCATGCGACCCAAAACGGAAGGTTCAGACTTACGATCTCCTTTTCCTTGACGAAGTGCTTCCTGATATCGCGAGGGTATCCAATTAATGGAGGACGTGAAAAAGAATGGCTCGATATCGTATCTATGTATGAGGCTTCAGAGCAAGCAGAAGAGTAAAAAAACGTCACATACTTTGTCCCCAACATGCGCAAGACCGATTCTGTCAAATCATCCACAAATAACGATCGTACTCGGATGTTTTTTGGTCGCTACAAATCACATCTTGGTTAATAAGCATACCATAGTTCACATGAGACTCACTTTCTGCGACAACAACGTCCAAAACTGATCTTGAGCTTGAGTCGACTCGGACACTACTGTAGTGTCATCGTTTCCTCCCACATCTGATTTGGCCGCAAACTTCCCGTCTTCATGCACATCCATCCAGTAAATAGTGGCAACTTGATTCGTCGAACACTTTTTAAACATCTTACTTCGCTTTACTTGATCTGTAGTCCAGTTCCTGAACTTGTTCTGAGGGTAACCCTGCCAGGATTCTGGCACGTTACTGTTGGTCCTATCATTCGTGTGAGAGCCAACGTTCAAGTTCATCCATGGCCACGGTCCCGACGGTGCTGCATGTCGGTATCTGGGAAGAGCATAAATAAGGAAACGAAGAGGACATGAACAGAACTTACATGGGATCGGGCACTACACGTGGCACAGCTGCACTCCCTGAGGCTATATCTTGAGGGGCATGAGAGTTTTTCGTACCGACGTTCATGATGCGGCCGAGTTAGAGTCAGTTCATGCCCCGCATGAATTCTGAATTTATATATGGTTGAGGTGTCTTCTCAGCACACTGAGGTACTGGTTTGAACGCCATGCTTCAATCTGTCCTGTGCGTTGTGCACGACCGACATCCAACATGAGCGGCTACTGGTAAACCATTCCCACAGGAAGCACTCCGAATTTAGAACCTCCTTTTGCCTACCCTCTTATCTTCATCCACTAGCCTAGAAGAGCTTCAGTTATGAATGTACCCTGAGATACATGAGGCATTTGAGCAGCAGGTAAGGACCTTCTTCATCTCAGCGCAGCAGCTCTGGAACGTGACCGAGGTGCGGTGTTCCTTTCGAGCGCGCACCGCATGAATAAATAGTAAACGCCGGCAGTGAGTTTTCACGAAAACAGAGACCCTCTCAGTGATACTGATTCAAGATACTTTAAATAGAGAGCAATCGAAGGTGTGCACCTTGGTTCTCCAGAAACTTTGAAAGCACCTGGACAATGGAATCGATCAAGGCCTGCAGGCGTCAGAAACTAAAGCGAGCGTGAACTTTACCGTAAGGAGGGTTCACAGTTGCGTTGGTGAGGCGTTTTTTTTGCCGAATTTATCGCTTTGTTGCTCACCTGGGTCTGAATTGTACTCGATCCCCAATTTGTCTGCCCGTTCAACTCGAGCGCTACATTGACACGCTTCAAGGTTATGGTGGGCCCCATCCGCACCTAGTCAGGGCGCAGGATGGACGCCCATTCTTAGCGAGTTTCTGGCTGCGAAACTACTTGTAAGCCAAGGCCAAATTCTCATAAGAAGCACTCCAAATTTAGAACTTCCTGCAAAAATCCTTTTGCCTGCCCATCCACTACATAGCCTAGAAGGGCCTCATGTGCACCCTACGATACATAAGGAGCAAGTAGGGACCTTCTTCATCTCAGCGCAGCAGGAGGTGGCGAGGTGCGGTGTTCCTTTCGAGCGCGCATGAATAAATAGTAGACGCCGGCAGTACTAAGTTTTCACAAAAACGGTGACCCTCTTGATACTGATCCAAGATACTTTAAATAGATAGCAATCGAAGATATATGCACCTTGGTTCTCCAGAAACTTTGAAAGCCCTTCCAGGACAATGGAAACACGAGACACAGTACTCCCGAAACAAGCGCTGAAAATATCGCTGGCTTGTATGCGGGACACTGCGTATCTACAGCGAGGCCGACATGTGAATGCGAGGCTCGAAGAAGCGCACACATGTAAGTCACATTCAAATTCATTCATGTACTTCCTGCCATTCGTACCATGGGGCCAGACTCGCAGCCTATAGGAAATTTATCAGACAACATTTCAAAGGCATGGCACTGAAAGAGTTTTATTCCCTCCCTCACTGAGATGATGCGAACTGCCATCAGAAAGAACAACTCCTTTCTAGCTTAAGGCCTAGGTAGGCAGAGGCCCACACTAGTGCAGTACCAAATTGAAAATGTTCCGAATTGTTCGAACGCTGGTATTTAGACTCGGGGTGAATCACTTCCCCAGCTGTGAACTCCAAAATGGTTAGAATCGTGCGAAATATTGTTTAGATATATTGAGATATTTGATCTGATTTTGCCATTTATATATCTATGAAAACCATGTTCCCGGAGCCGATTACCTGATCCACTTACATAAGTACGAGTAGCACGACTTGAATGGCCAGCAGGAAGTCCACAAAATTGCGTATACCGCATTCTCAAGAGGATTGCGAACTGGTCGGGATTTTGGAACAACTGGCACCTAAAGAGTCCACGCAGGGCAGAAAGATCGCCCTGGTATGATGCTGATGATCATCCCAATCTTTACAAAATTACTTGACTCATTGTATGTTCTAGATTCTCCATGGGGCTATGGGGTACGTTCGGAACTACTATTTCTGCTCCTCCTGACTTCTTATCTCACTCCAGGCATAAAGACTACTTGTTCCAAAAGCGTCTTGCGCTACGCTTCCCGATGGACTCATTCAGATTTGATTTTCGGTCTGTCATCCGTTGGTCTTGGCGTATATCCCCATTCATATAGAGCAGCGGATATCACGAAAGTGGGGGCCAACGAACACAGGGTGGACTCATGAAAGATGCCGAGGATCTCGTGACGGTCGTTTCTTACCTCCGCAATACGTATGGGTACGAGATTGATTTAGTGGTGGGCCATTCTCGTGGTTCTGTGGTCGGGATGTATTGGCTATGCACGTCCGAAGAAGGCCAACGTGTTTGTGCAATGGTCAATGTGTCAGGCCGTTACCGAATGCATGTGAGAGAAATAACTTCCCGCGTGCGCAAAATAACTGAAATACTAGTCGTGATTAGCGAGTTTACGGTAGGCTCAAGGGTTTCAAAGTCCAGACGATCGGTCATCTGATCCTAATTTCTAGATGTTGCCGAGGCCTACAAAGAGGAGTGGGATGCCAAAGGCTACTACGAGCGGACCGTAACAGTCGCTCGACAAACAATTGTGGAAAGGATCTATCCACACAATATAGAGGAGATCTCTGAGTGGAATACTGCAATCGTTTGGGACAAATTTCCTGATCAAATCCATGTTCTGACAATGCATGGTCTCGTCGATAAGGCAGTTCCTGCGTGAGTGTTTGTGATCTAATAGCGGATGACAGGGGAAAAAATTCCCATTGTATCAGATATGACGCGGTTATTTACTCTCGAGCACTTGGTGCCAGAACGCCTGGAACCCACAACCTCCATTTAATAGAGGAGGCCGATCACAATTTTACAAATGTGAATCTCGATCCTTATCGTCATAGCTAACGCTAACAATATACTTAGCGCCAAGACGAGGTTGTAGACTGCATCCTGGAGTGGTGGGATGCTCTTAACCAAGGACGTTTGAAAACAGGCATATTATTGACAGGCGTACGTGGCAAACTGTGACTACGAGTGTCTGGCCCTTTCGACAACTAGTCAAATATACATGATTTTTCTTGGACACCAAGGAGTGGAAATGTATCCAGTGAGTCCACTGTTCCGAGCTGCTCACGCCATTCTTCGGACCAGCTTGCGAATTTCCGCTGTGCCGCAGAATTTCTTCGCGCCATAGGCTCTCATGTTCAATGGTCTCACCCGTTGGTTCATCCGTAATGAAGTATTTAATACCATTTCCATGGCACGGAAAAAAAAAACATCGTCAGCTGTGTAGTTTCATATACATATACTTGCTCAGGATAATTCCCTGGTGAATAAGTTGAAACAACTACAATGGCGTATCATTGATCATCCAAGATGCCTGTCTCCACGGTCAGAACCGCATAGTACTTGGATGCACAGTACAACACTTTAGCCAAACTTGATTCAAACCGTTGTTGATGTGTCGGTCCCCTGGCAAAGCACAGGTTGTTGATCAGCAATCACTCTGACATGCTACTGTGTATGCACTGCAAGCATGCTATGGGAGTATTCATCACGGCCGGGCATTTTTCAACAAGATGCAATTTATCATTCACATTTCGATTGAATATTGAGGTCCTTTGAGATCTTGCCTGAGGCAAAAATTTGAAATCGCTGATGCCTGTGATGTTGCGCTATTTTTAGCAGCTGCTTACTGGCGGCCGCTTTACCTCCCCTTATGTAAATATTGTTTCCCGGCTGCACCTTTCAAAGACTGATCCTATCTGGTTTGCTCATACGCCGAATTCGTGCCATGCGGACAACTCAAGTATGCTGTTGGCTCCCACTCTCCGCACTGCTGCCCAGCGCATTGGCTGTCACCAATCCTCCGCACGCGTCAAGGGAGATATGGAGCCTTGGAGGTGGCAGCTGGTGGCTGACAATGATTGATACAGTGCAGCCTAACTTAGAGCGACTTTCAGTCGTCTGGTAGACGAGTTGAACAATAAACATTCGCGCCCCCCATCGAATCTATGCTAGGTATTAGCCATCGCTGAAGCTCAATTGCTTTGGACGAGCGATTTGCAAGCGACGGTGGACTCAAGAATCTTGCTTACACTGATAGTGCTGCCAGTGGCAAGTTTCTTGTCGCTGGAGATTGAATGCATTCTTACGATTCTCACTTTATTCCCATCCGAGTCACTGTCGCTTGATTGCCATTTGCGCTTATGGCGAACTCGACCGATTCCGCGTGGAAAATATCGAGCTCGTCGAGGCTCGTTGATGGTCATAACTATAATTGTGTGCGTTCTTGATGATTCCTGATGTTTTTCAGTGCTTACTGGTTGTCAATAAGCGGTGGCTCGGCATTTGTCTTGATTCCTCGGCTCGTTGCTGGGCCCTGGCTCTCACCGTCGCACTGTTGATTGTTGGCAATTCAACATGTCCGGGGGGCAAATTGGTGTCACGCTCTCGTATTATCGTCATGGTTGGTTAAATCCGCACGGCTACATCGTCATGAAGGGATGCATTTATGGGATACCGCTCGGAGTTACCACTTGTCCTAGTGAAAGGCCTGCATATGTCTCTCCCCTAGAGTGAAGATTGGTGTCGTTGGGTGGTGAACATCTTTTTTGTTCTATGCAGCTCCTGTAACTTATGAGATGCAGGACTACTACCAGGAACTTGTGGAATCTCAAACAACGATCTCTCACCCATCTCTGCATTGCCTCCTGCTGACGGGCAGTCTACGCGTAAATTAAGTCTCGACAGTCCTATCGACGATGTAGGCAGTTATTTGATCGGTAATATTCTCTTGTCTCTCTTGCAAGAGCTCTCGTACACGGAACTGATGTCCTAATTCTTGACGAGGTTGCGGGTAATCATGATATACATTCTTGTAGCGCATATATTCTAATGTATTTCTATGTAGCTTCTATCGATTATGAGAACGACAGCTAGATCCGGCATGCCACTGCCAACGAATTTAAAGAACGCACGATCCTGTGCATTAATGCACGTAAGTTAGAGAAGACTCGTCGCTTCGTATCAACTTAAAACAAGTATATATAGATCGTCTCAGGCCATCATTAGATACGACAGGGTACGCGTGCCAATGGATGCTGGGATAATTAACCTGTATGTCTCTTTATCCTATTCCATACTGATCATTTATTCAGGAATTCGATGTTCCTTTTAATCTTGCCCATGCCCGATAGTATATTTTGCGGAATGTGCGAAATCAAGCAACTCAATCAAACGTGCATCCAGAAGTTGTGCAGGTGGTATCACGGAGAAATAGTACGTACCATAGCACAAAAATCACGAATTCGAATGGATCCCACAACCAATTCATCCCAAGTAAAGAGGTCGCCATAGAAAGTTCTTATGTTGATACACAGAAGGTAAAAACCTAAGCCACTCTATCAATATGAATATCATATCTACGATTGCTTAAACCTGAACTTAGAGGTTCATGCTAGAAAACAATGCTCCAAGATTAACCCAGCATCGTCCACATTGTTCCATATATTTGTCCACCGTCTTCGACATCGCCCTGAGGAATGGGTCGTTGTTTGTTGCAGTAGCCACAATTTCCTCTGTATGCAAAAATGTCAGATATCTCGGTCGGTTGATGAACTGCATTCACGCTTACCCTTTCTCGCGCTGCCCTGTGCAGCCTTGATGATTTTCTCAATGTCAAACAGTGTCGAAAAATACCGGAGTTGTGTATACAACTCGGTGTCTCCATACTTGAACTGCACTCTACCTTTACAGCCCCCCGGCGCTCCGCACCGCCAGCCGTACATCCGCATCGACCGCGTCTCATACCCGCATGCTGGATCCTCGCAGACAACCCATCCCTCGTAGTACCGGGCCACAAACGACCGAATCTGCACCTCAAGCTGCGTCTGCAGGCTCGCCGAACCCAGCGGCGCGCTGCACGCGGGGCAGGTCGGCCCTGATGACAACAGAATGGACGCCTATTCGATGTCAGACAGTCCTAAGCACAAATGGGGATGCGGTCACATACATCTCGATCATAAACCGGAGGGAACGCCATCTGCCCCGCGCACCCGCGACAGCGTACAAGGAACGGAGCTACGTCACGGAACCGCTCTGCATCAGAGACGAGGGAGTCTAGTGTTATGAGCGCTGATCCGGCCGGCGTGCTTCCACTAATGCGATAACGTCCCGGGTCCAGTCCTTTGAGAAACATTGAGTTTAGTTCGCAGGCATTGGTGTTTCAACGCTCACCAAGACACTCAGCCAACCGTGCCCTGTCCGTCCCTTCAATAGGCTCACACAGTCGCTCAATGGGTGGCAGGACCTGGTTCGCAAGGTAGTGCTCGTAATCCACGGTGAGTTCCCCTGCGGCCTTCTTGATCTCGTCTGGATGCTTGGCGCGATCTGCTTGTGCGGTCTTCACGGTCTCTTCACCGGGAGCGACGCAGAACACATAGGGTATAACGTCACCATTGCGGGCGCTTCCTCCCTTTGCTTTTAATCTCAAAGCGACTTGCACATGAGGCTGAGATTTAGCATCGGGGTAGTCTTCTGGGTTCTTGCCTAGGCGCTGAGCCATGCGTTAGATTGACCAAGAAACGTCGAAAGGAGTTTTTGAAGGTACCTTGTATACAATGAAGTCCTCCAATTTGATCTTTCCGCTGCGAACATTTTCGCCGATGGTATTAAGATACTCGTGAATGTTCTCCACTACAACCTCCGTTGGTTCGCCAGACAAAATTTGCTCCAAAACGTATCTGGAAGGTGCAGGGTTGAACCAAGTCAGCACAAAAACAAAGCACGACCTACTGAGACACAGTCTTCGATAAAGCGCAGTATTCTCGACGCTTCATATCTAGACCTTTAACTTCCGTGGATGTCCGCGATCCCTCCTCCACCTTCAAGGCTGCATATTTCTTTTTCTGCAAGAGTAAGAGACGTGCAAAAACGCCGTCGAGGTCTATCTCGAGAAGCTTATATCGATCGTTGACAGCCTTCTTGAACTCAGCAGAGATTTTTAGCGCCTCGGAAAGTTCTGTCACGTTGGAGTTGACGAACACCGAATCAGTGTCGCCATAGACAACCTATGATGAGTCAGAGAAATCCACTGGCACGTATCGGACATGTGCTCACGTCTAGTTGTAAACTCTCGGCAAGCTCCCTGGTGTGCGTCAGGATCTCACGACCCTTGAAAGTGGTTAGGGCAGCGAGAGGCTTGGCGTAGAATCGCGAGTACTCGAAACCAAGACAGCCGTACATACTGTTTGCAGTCAGTTTCAATGCTTGTTGTTTGATGTCATACTGTGGCGAAGGCCAAGTGTGAGCAAGTAGTCAAAGAGACGGCATCGACTATCGAACCTGCAGTAGTTTTGCGTGCGATATAGAACGATCCTTCATAAGTGACTTCACCTGACGCCGCCGGCTGACCAGTGTTGCAATAAGTCGTGGAAGGACGCCCTGAGGCACCTCAGGTGGCGGTGGATCTGGTATCTTATCATCGTCGTCCTGCACTCAGGTGTCAGCATCGAAGCATGGACAATAGTCTAATCACTTACATCCTCCTGCGAGCGCTCGACGGTAGTGAAGTCAATGTTATACTCCTGGATGATACTCGGATACAGCGAGTTGAAGTCCATAACGAGGATATACTTGTCCCAAAGTCCACGCTTCGGCTCAAACACGAGACCACCCTTGAACTTGTCCCGTTTGCCTTTGCTCGACTTGCCGCCACCGCCCCGTTCGCCATCTGCATCATCTGCTTCGGGCTCTGCTTTCGGCGCTTTCTTGCCGTATGTCTTGTCAGGACAGATGTACTTCAGGCGGTGGAACTCGTGCAGAAGAATGTACTCGTTCCGTTCAGCCCGACCACCATTCAGCGTCTTGTTCCTAAGACCAAGCTCCATTAATGTCCAAATTATCGACCACAAGAGCTCACCATGCGTTGCCAGCAAGGTTTGTGAGCTGTCTTGTCAGAGGCAGAACCTGCACCTTCGAGGCGATAGCCATTTGGTAATGAGCGTCAAGCTCACAATGCCGCACAAACGTCATGAGCATATCTGGGGATGATACGGTACCATCAAAGTACGCTGCTGTGTCATCTGGATCGATATCCTGCCTGTCCGACTTGAGATGAGTTTTACACATCTCGGTGAGGGACCACGTAGTGGAGGCGATCATGCTCTGACGGTAAACTATTAGTCACTGTATCACAGAAGCTGATGTGAAACTTACCCGTGCACCATCGCTGGCGAGATCACAAAGCAAGCGCCCAGTTAAAAAGCGCATGTTTGTGCCCTGACGTCCTATAAGTGGCCATTTCGAGCGCCTGAACCGCCCGAGGCGTGACCAGTGCTCCGCCTTGAGGTCCTTCATTCTGCCGAGGAGGACATCAAGGGAGACACCGAGAAAGTCGTGACCAACAATGACGTCGGGGTCTGCTTTGTGCAGCGTGACTGTAAGATATCCGATCAACAATTAAGGAACCTTGCAATTGAAGGAGAAAGGCACCAAGCAAGCTGTTGAGGAGCATCCGCTCGTTCTTCATTGGTGAGATCATGCCCTTTCCGTTTGCTCGCGCCTTGGCTTCAAAATTCGCAGGGAAGCGGTCGAGAGGACGGACGAGCGTGTGCACAGAGCACGGAAGCTGCTCAGGGGGTGTAGGATCATCAAGTTGAACTACATAATGTGCTATCAAGTCAGCAATGTTCGTCAGCAAAGGTGCGAGATAATTGACCATCTCGCCATATGCGGCCCGTGGCACACACAACTTCCCGCTTGTTTTCGCGATGGTTGACAACGGTGCGTACTGCGAGACTCATTATTGTTAGAGGGGGAGGCTCTGGAGCGCTGTCTCCCATGGGTGTCACGTTCTTTGGGTCTGAGACAGTGGCTTCGAACTTGCACCACGAGATCTGCAAGAATATATCATCAGCTGAAAGCTAAAGGATCTTTCGTGGACAGCCTTACACCCTTGTTCTCGACAACCGCATTAGTTATGGTAAGCCAGCACGGCCCCATGATCTTGCGCTTGAGCACGAAAAGCTCAAACGCACTAGTATTGGTCCCAAATATCCGAGCAATATTAGGCGAACAGGCGCTCATAGGGACTTGGGGCTCTATCCGCATACAGTGAGTATTTCGCAAAAGTTCGGCATATAAGGTTTACCTTCGAAAGAGTACAAGACTTTCATCCATTCGCCCTCTTTCGGTACGTCCTTCTCATCAAATGCATGATTTCTCCGAACCCATCTCCCCTTCCATCCCTTGATACCAAGCTTCTTCCGTACCCGCTCAAAATCTTCGTACACATCCGATTTGCTCGGCACGACGTCAGTTTCTTGCATCACAAACTCGCCTTCTTCGGTCTCCTCTTGCTCAATGCGTAGCGGACGCGGGAGCAGGAACAAATTACGCTGAAGCCCCTCGATGGCGAGGCAAGCAGATACCCAAGTCGAGGAGGTTTTGTCCTTGATTTTACCAGTGAGAAAGAGCTTGCCGTTATGCTCAAGGTAGTCTAGCCAGAAAAAGCGGAGGGTGCCGTCGGGTTCAAGAGCGTCGAAAGATGATTTAGAAGTTGAGGAGGAAGAACCAGAACCTAAGGTTTCATCAGAAGTGACAGCAAGGGAGTCGTATACAGATAGCCAAGTTGGAGCTGAAGGCGGCTCTGCTTTAGTAGGTGCAGAGGGAACGTTGACCTTGAGCTTAGTTTCTAGGCCATCGAGAATAGATTTGTTCCCCTTGGCAGGTTTGATATCAAGATCTTCGTCATCAACATCCATAAAGGCATCCATGTCCATATCCTCAAAGTCCATTGAGTTGTCAAAACCATCTTCCGATCCACTATGAACACCCAACTTGCACATTCGCTCGATCGCGGGAGTGATTCCAGCACCACTAGTTGTGCGTGGCTTCTTCTTAGGGCTCATCATAGTTGAAAAGTTGTCTTCGAAATCGCTTGATGACAGGTTTAAAGCAGCATCGTCCATGAGACCATCAGAGGAATAGTTTACTTCTTCATGATCTGATAACGGGGAGGGCTTGCGTTTCTTTGGCCTCCTTGCAGCTGGGGCTGGGACGGCATCCAAGCCTCCAAGGAGATTGGCCATAAAATCTTCTTCCTGCTCTGCTGAGACGGCCGGGCGGTACACGCTGATAGAGGGCTTGGCAGTGGGTGGTGGTGCTTTCGGCTTCGCTTTAGGCTTGGATGCAACATCCTTGCCCTTCTTCGCTGCAAAGCCAAAGTCAGACGTAAAGTGTGTAGACATACAATTAAACTCACCCTTCTTCTTCTTTGCCTCGTACTCGTCGCCATCTTCGTCTTCTTCTTGGTCTTGCCCAGCGCCCGTCCAGTCGTCCATCCCATTGTCCATGTAACCACTCACGCCGTCGTCCACGACAAAGTCATCCTTTTGCAACCTTCCTCGCACGATGCTCTTATATTGATCCTCAGTGACCTCGTCATAGATAACCACATCCTCTTGAGCCTGTGAAGACGCGTTTGAGGACCGATGTCAAGCCAAATGGCAATGATGTCGCACCTTCCACTTGCGCGCGCCTCCTTCACGAGTTCGTTTTAGTTCTGCGAGAGCAGCAAGCCTATCTGCGCGCTTTGCTCTGTCCGACATTAAGCTGTGGTGGACGTGTTCGATGATGAGCTCGACTGTGCGCGTCTTGCGATCGATTAACGCGTTTTTCCACTCCGCTAGAAACGCGTGGGGTCACATCACATGTCACGCCTTACAGTGACGTACTTAGACTGTCACATTAGTGACTAACTTAATTGCGGTACATAGCATGCGATACAGCTAAACTTGACGGCCAATACGGTCTAGATCATTTATTGTTTTTCACTTGCTCCATGTCACAATCGAAGGAAATTGGGACGCTAGTCGTCGTCATCCTCAAGGCTCGTCATCTGCATCAACCTTCTTTCTACAAGCAGGACCCATATGCGCAAGCCGTCCTTTCTGGCCAGACTCATCGAACCAAGCCAGAGCCCAAGGGAGGGCAACATCCTGTGTGGGATGAAGAATTCCGATTTCCTGTTCTCGCCGATCCTGGAAAAGACAATATCAACAGAAAGCTGGAAGTGTCTTGCTGGAAGGACGAGCCTCGAGCTGAAGATAAGCTCTTAGGCAAAGGGGTTGTCGATATCGAATCGACTTTGAAAACTGGTGAATTTGATGGTGAGAGATTTATAATCCTGGCTTAATCTATGCTTAATCTATCTTATTAGACTGGGTTCCTCTCGAAACATCAGGCGGAGCGAGAGGCGAGTTATACCTCGAGATGACATTCTATGCAAATACTCCTCCTCCTCTTAATCGTCGACCAACGAAGCTCAAACAATCAGATCGTCTTACACGGCCGCAGTCGTATAATCCTGTACCACACAAGAGTGGATCGCCATCTGCCCTGAACCATACTCCTGTGCAGCTCCGTGATCCGGGCTATGCCCCCCCTGCTACGCTTCCCGCATCTTTGCTTCCTGCTAGAGGCCATCCCAAGGCCTCATCGCCATCCCCTTCGCCCCCCGGCCGACAGTCCAGTAAGACTGATGTGCTACCCCCTCTTCCCGAAGAAGATTCAGTACCCCAGATAAAGCCTGGTCATTTGCCAACCATTCTGCGCCCGGGGGTTGTCGGACGTGCAGGTCGTTTTGGTACTCCGGCTATGAATACTGGGGGCACAAGCGACGCGCCCTCGTTCTATACGACTCCACCAACTCCAATACCATTGTTACAGACTCCCGTCCAAGAACCTCCTTATGAGCTTTCTTCAGAACCTCTAGGAGTTCGCACACCCTTTATTATGACAGACAATCCACTGAATGAACATTACCAGCCCTCGTTTCCTATTGCACAACCCCATACCTCAGAGCCACAGCTTCATCACGAGCAAGGACAATGGCAATCCAATCATTACTTGTCGGGCCAAGCTCCCCAACAATATTCTCTCCTCATCGCAAGGATATGCTCCACCTCAACAAACACTTCCTCCGCTTCCACAACAATACACTTCCTCGTCGCAAGGATACGTTCCTGCTTATCAAACATCACCTCCGCATCCTCAACCATATCAGCAATCTTATACGCCCCATAATCATGCCCCGCCACCCTCACCACAACCACAGCAATACTCGTCATCTTCTCCCCAGCCCTACCAGTATCAACCTCATCAGGCTCCGTCGCCTACCCCGCAATATCAGCCCCCGCCACCCCCTCATCAAGCACCGCCTCCTGCACCGCAATATCAGCCACAACCAGCCTCTCATCCCCAGAGCTACTCGGTTCAACCATACCAACCTCCACCACCACCACCTCAGTCATACACCCCACTTCCCAACCAGCAACCATATCCCTCTTCATCACAGCCGCAAGGATATGTTCATCCAACCCAACAGCAACCTCAGACGTACACTCCCGCACCACCTCAGCAGCAGCCATACCAACAACAATCCTATTTTCCTCCGCCTCTCCCCGCACAATCCCCAGTCCCTTCTCCCCAATCTCAACTTCTTGCCAGAGCACCATATTTCTCGCCGCCGCCACCACCACCGCCACTTCATGGAAGCACGCAGGGCACCCTGGCAGTAGCAAAAGGGGAGCAACAGTCTCCCCCGGTGCAAGGATATCAGAACACTGCACCGACTGCCTCGCCAGCACATGGTTTGGAAGCCGCTCCAACTGCCCCTTCGCAGAACCCTCCGGACCAGCCTCCTGCCTCTTCTGCCTTACCTACAGTCCCAGAAGACGAAAAGAAGCGCGAAGAGGAGGAACGCACCAGAGATAAAGAACCACGGAAGGTGGTGGATGAACGGAAGGCCGCTGAGGAGGCGGATTCAGAGAAGCACGAGGCAGAGGAAGCACAGTCTCGAGCTGCTGAAGAAGAGGGGGGGCGACAGGAGGAGGAAGAGCTGAGAAGGAAGGATGCTGAAGAACAAAAACGACGCGAGGAGGAGCGATTGAAATTGGAGACGGAGCAGAGGCAGAAAGAAGAGGAAGAGCGACGGCGACGAGAGGAGGAGGAGAGACCCAAACGAGAGGATGAAGAAAGACTCAAGCGAGAGGAGGAGAGAGACTCAAGCGAGAGGAGGAAGAAAGACTCAAGCGAGAGGAGGAGGAGAGACTCAAACGAGAGGAGGAAGAGAGACTCAAACGAGAGGAGGAGCGTAGAAGAATCGAAGAACTGCGCAAGGCAGAAGAAGCTAAACGTAAACAAGAAGAAGAGGATCGGATCAGGCGCGAGGAGGATGCACGTCAAAGGGCCGAAGAGGAACGTTGGAAGCGCGAAGAGGAATCACGTCGGAGGCTTGAAGAGGAGCGGATCAGGCGAGAGGAGGAAGCACGTCGTAAAGGGGAAGAAGAGATTCGTCGCAAACAGGAAGAAGAGGCCCGTCGCAAACGAGAAGAGGAGGCTCGTCGCAAACGGGAAGAGGAGGCTCGCCGCAAACGAGAAGAAGAGGCCCGTTGCAAACAAGAAGAAGAGGCTCGCCGCAAACGAGAAGAAGAGGCCCGTCGAACACAAGAGGAGGAGGCTCGTCACAAACGAGAAGAGGAAGAAGCTGAACGAAGGTGGCAAGCTGAGCTTGCTCGCATCAAGGCGCGCGCTGAGCAGGAGGCTGCTGACGCTGCTTTCGCTCGTGCTCAATCTGAAGCGGAAGAAGCCGAGCGTCGCAGGCAGGAGGAAGCCGACCTTGCCTTTGCGCGGCGTGCACAGGAGGAGAGCGAGCGAGAGCAAAGGGCCGCTGAGGAACGGCAAAAGCAAGAAGAATTAGACCGCGAACTTGCCCGTCGCGAACAGGCACATGAAGAGCAGTTGGAACGTAGGCGCGAGGAGGAGCGTAGGAGGCGGGTGGAAGAGACGGACAGGGAAATGGCTAGGAAATTGGATATGGAACTGAACCTTGGGCCGGAGGATGGTGATGCGAGTTCTCGAAGGCCGTCGACGACCCCAGAGCTTCCTTCTCGCAGAAGAGCGGGAAGTCCTAGGACTCCCAATGTCCATAGAGGATGGTAAGTGAAATACAATGTTTCCAACGCGAGTGGAGATGAGATACATTGATTATTTAGATTCAGTAAATGTGATCTTGCCTAGCAGGTATCTGCAGTATCACTATCGCCGGCTTGAGTGCTATTGGGTCTACCATGTCATGCTGTGTTGCTCTGCATTCATCGTTCTATCTCCTTTTTACGGTTCTTTGCTGGCGACTTCTGCTTCAATTCACGGCGTCGTTGGTCTTCAAAATGGAAGCAGATATCAAATTGGCAAAAAGAATTTTTGGCGATACGAGTCGCAAGTAGAGTCTAAGACCCAACGTGCTCGAGATTAACATAGAAATGGACATTTAAGTCACGATATCAAGCACTTTAATTTCGGAGGCCAGTTGGCATACTTTCCAGTTCGATTGAATATAACTTGGATGGTGAATTCGGCCGCGTGTAAGCCTGCATAAGATTGCGACCTCTAAAGCCTGCACCCCCCCCCCCCCCCCCCCCCCGTATTACGGCCATCTACGGCCTGCGGTTGTGAACTACCCAAACGCCAACTTGAAGCCTATGAATGTCTGACGGTACGGTTGCAGCTACTGTATTGCGGGGCCGTATAGACCGGATCATTGAACCGACAAAGCTGAAGTTAAAAATGGAGGAAAGGGAAGAGTGAGGATATGTTGAGGCCATTATACTGCTCGGTGATGGCTACGACATGAAGCTGGAGAAAAGCTGTTGAGCAAAGTCCCATGGGGTCTTTTCGTTGTGAATGACGTGAGGGTGTTCGGACTTTGCATGCTTGAGCGCTCAGGCCTCAGAGTTTGAAGTCATCCGAAGGGACCGCGAGAAAGGTCCGAATGATACCGGCAACTAGTTAGTTGTGCTCCTAGCGAGGCGCTCTGAGTTAGCGCGGTGGTACTGATATTAGATGTCACATGGGGATCTACTAGATACGGACCAATTCGAACCCCTATCGATAAGATGGGCGCTGATGTGTAGTACCAGCCCGTGTGGCGTGCTCAAGCTGTGGAACGTGTAATCACTATCTACTGAGTACTGAGCGCTTGGTAAATCGGTTTCGCATGCAAGAATGGTGTTTATATATGAAGAGCCTTTCCGTATAGTTTTCAAGATAAAGCTGTTATGTGTAGTATTCTGCTGTTACATAAGGCGCCCAGGCTTCTGGCTCTAGCACTGGCAGCAAGTCCGACGATCTGATAAGGACATCTGACAAGACACTGGCAATTTTAGTTGTGCCGCCTCGAGACGCTCCGAGATGCTGGCCAATTCGATCGCGCTCCAAGCTTCAAAAACCGGTTTCGCGTGCAAGAGCCTTTCCGCATAGTTCTCGTCACCAACTTGAGGGGAAAGGTCTCATGTTTCCAGATAAAGCTGGCAGGTCTGTGTGGTTCTGGTTTACAATATCGACAGGTTTATGTTGGATATAAGGTGGCAGGCCGCAGTACCTACTACGATGAAGCTTAAGTCTACCTCGGTAAGTTCGTGCCTTGACTTTAGAACTGTTGGCGCTTGTCACGTTCATTTACTATAAATCAGCTTGAATTCAGTGTTCGATTCCTCAGTTGGAACCTTTTCCCTTCTCGAACGATTTCATCCTTAGGCTTCGCCAATGGCTGACGACTCAGACTCATCACTGCAGAGGTTTCCGTCACTGCAAAACCGACCCGATGACAAGTGAGTACCTTTTCATTGCAACGTCACGTGCGGTATTTGTGAAGACTTGGGAATTAACCACCGTCATTCAAGTTCTGGTGACGGCCTTCTCAGGCAGATTCTCGAGGTCCTCCGGGACTCCACAAATACCAAGGAGCCAACAAAGGATCCGCTTTCTAAATTTTGGGCAGCATACAAAACTGTTTCTGACGAGTATGATGACGACATGTTAGAGAGGTGCAATGAAAATATGAATATAGTCCTGATCTTCGTACGTAAGACATGTCGTTCTTTCAAGAGCATCTAACACAAGTGACTGGCAGGCTGGTCTGTTCGCCACTGTCAATACCGCGTTTATCATTGCAATGCAGCTAAATCCTAGTGACACCACCAACGTTCTGTTGGCACAGCTTATCCAGAACATATCAGATGGCCGTTCTGCTACCCAGCCAACCATCCCTCCGTCATCTACAGGTTTTTCTTCTTCCAAATTATGGATGCAGGCTCTTGCATATGCGAGCCTTGCATGGAATCTTCTTGCTGCCTATGGCGCTGTCATGGGCAAGCAATGGCTGGGTCACTATAAGACAACTCGTTTTGGTGGTGGATCTAACCAAGACCGATGTCAGCGGAGGCACCGCAAGTTTCAGGAGCTAAAGGAGTGGCAGTTCGAAAATATGTTGCGGTCATTCCCGGTTCTCCTACAGATCTCCCTCCTTCTATTTTCTCTGTCCCTGGGAGCCATGTTGTGGACGCAACAACGACCAATTTCCATCCTTGTTATTGCAATGACTACTTTTGGCAGCCTTTGCCATGTCTTTTTCATCACGATGTCGGTGATACGTCCTGACAGTCCATTCCAAACTCCCATCTCCTTGGTCATCCAAGCCATCTTTGGTCATTTTCGTGCACGCGCGGATCTCCGGCATCAAAATGAAGAATCTGTCAAACCCGCCATGGCGTGGATCTTGCAGACTTCGAGAAGCCCTGATGTTGTTAGGTCGGTGGTCGATCTGATACCTACAATGTCGGAGCTGCCAAAAGTGAATTTTGTGTCGTTATGCACAGATGTTCGAGACATGTTCAAGGCATGTTTTGATCAGCGTGGCATTCCAATACTACACGACAGCGCACTGGCATATGGGAAAGCATTGATCTACTTCTCTTCCAATGATGATGAGGTGAGGGGTATGCTCCAAAAAACCACACAAGAGTGGAATCTTTGGGAACGGTGGCGTGCCCTGTATCTGCCTCTGGCGCTGGAACAATGTAGAGTTTCCTACCGCAGGATGGGCAATACCCGTGATCCGAAGTCACAGTCATACTTCGGCTTCCAAGCAGACACCCGTGCTGCTCTGCGTATGGTTGTGGCTACTGGCGTAGACGATTTTGCTCGTCCCGATGATGACAGGTTGATTTGGAATGGTCGATACAAATTCAAATCCATTCAGTCGGGAGATAAAGATGACTGGCTGTTGGAGTGCGCAGAGCACTTCCATGGAATCGGCGACGTTGACGCAGCTGGAAACGCTCTGCTCTTGTTCAGTGGCATACAGATGAAATCATTGTACCCCACCCATGTCCAAGACTGTATCACTCGATTTCTGAACGACCGCCGGTCACGTAGATTTCTCCAGATCGCACTTAATACCGTCTACCGAAAAGCCATCTTTCAAAAGCTCCTCTACATGCTCACGGAAGAAGGCCAACCCTTCCGCGATGCTGGTTCGAAGGCCATTCGTTTCTTGGTCCAAAATGAATGGCCCGAAGGTGGCGATCTAGCTCCCGAAATCCAATTTCTTGTATTCCTCGTTTTACCTGCCCCAAGGTTGACGATCTCGCCAGGTATACTTATTACTGCCGTACCCTCATTTTATTCATGGGTGAAGGTCAAGATGAGGAGCTCCGCTCATACACTGCAAAAATTGTCTGTAACGCCCGACAAGACCTTGTAGAGTTCACCACTGCTGCCAGAGCTGACGAATCCTTGCGAGACTCAGTGCAGCTCTCCGAGCTCTGTCAAACCCTCATCACCACACTTTTTACCTGCAGCGATGATTTGCATCTCGAACGCCGAGATCTTATCCCCTATTTCCGTCTCGCCTTCACTCTTGCAAAGAGCTCCGACTGGCACCCTTACCTGATCCGGGATCGCCACTATATCGAAGGGTGGATCACAAACACGCTCACGTATTCCGGTCTCCCTCTCCCCCTCGCACTCCCTCTCCCCCTCGCACCCCCTCTCCCCCTCGCACTCCCTCTCCCCCTCGCTCTCGCTCTGCCACTCCCACTTACATTCGCACTCGCACTCGCACTACCACTCGCTCCCATCCACATTTCTCCACCAATGTCACTAGTGAAGAAGCGCGTTGTCTCTTTTACCTCGCTGGAATTTCCCTCCGTATTTCTCCATCAGAGGAGGCTGAATCTTGCTTTAGTGACGCCATAACCACTGTGCATTGGTGGAACTTGATGAGGGGTGCATGGTATATCATCGAGTCTTGCTCTTATGAAGAGCTGGATGATGGCATTGGGGCCTTGCAGCTCTTGCCAGGGAAACAGAGCGGTATATGCCATCACTGGCAGGTGCTTCGAGGATTGAGCTCGAGTCGGTCGAGTCGGTCGATGGGTTATTGGTCAAAACTCTTGATATGTTGCAAAAGCAGCCGATTCCAGATAAGAGTATCATACTTGCAGTGACGGGTTTGAAGGATACCCTACGCAAGAGATTGCCAGCGGCCTAGGTTCCAGACGGTATGGAGCCGGGGGAGTTTGGAGAACAAAGTGCAGAGGACTCTTGAGATCTTTTATCCCATGGATCGACTTAACCACTTAACCATTGCGTTACCTAGCTTTCCCTTGTATTGTATGTAAGATAGCCTGCGATTCTGTATGTAGTCTGTAGTCTAGGTATGGGTCATTACGCCAACGAGTCTTCGAATATAAAGCAATGAATGTTTTTGCTATGTTTCGACCTCTTTAGAAAAGTGGGACTTTTCGAGACGAAAAAAGATGGAGATCGAAACGACAGGTAGTAGTAAGGGTCCACATCCTGCCACTACCCGCTCGCCGCCATACGCTGTGCACGGATCCCTCTTGCAGCCCCGCAGCTGCATACTGAACTTGCCACTGCACGGTCATTCTCAGGCGCAGGTCCACACTCCTTGGATAATGGAAACCTTTGGATGGGGTGGGCTGCACGGGTCGAAACTTTGGATAGAGTGGGCTGTGCGCAGGTGGTGATGCAGAGAAAATGCAGAGTGACTCGGATTAGCAATGGACACGGAGTCCGCCCAGAACAACACCCAGACTCCGTATCAATTGCACATTCAGAATCAAAATGCGCCTTGAGGCACTTTGATGTTTCCCCGGACCACTGACTGGAGCCAATATACGTGACTTATGTACTGGTTGCATCCTCGAACTTCAGGGATCGCTTGTAGTATGTATGCCTCGTCACATAGCTCGATATAGTATTCCGCTTCTGGTGAACCTTACAAATGTTAAGCACTCTATATACTTGCACTATCAGGCGCTACAAAACTGTAAGTTATTCATTAAATTTGCCTCATTCGACCCTTTCTTCATACTAAGGAACCAGTATGCCAGAATTATACGACGACGGAGTCCATCTCGTGCTGCTCGAACCTCGGTGGAGAAGTCCAACATACACAATCCTCGAACATTGTACTGACTTCTACGCAATTATCCTGGGCATGTGTATCCCAAATACTGATGATGAGACGGGGCGCGAGAATAAATGGCGCAGTTTCGTTGAAGAATTCTGAGAGATACATCGCCAGGGTCTAAGAGTGTAAATGTTTAGCTGATCTCTCCGTATAATCCTTTGAAAGTATCATACCGGAATATGAGCCCATAATATAACCAATAAGGTTTGGTTTGTCACATTCCTAGCGGGAATCAATGGGTATGTTTAGAACCCACTAGATGAAGGGGGACTTACAGGACAAAGTACAGGATATGATACCGAACGATCATAACCATATATGTATTAGCCCTCATTCGAATTTCCCTTTGTTCCTTAAGGTGCCTTGCGAGGATGGCGACCGCGAGAACAACTAGTAAAACATCATAGCATACTAATGGGGATGGAAGTATAGATCGCAGGCATAGGCCCAATGTTGAAGGAAAAGGTGCAGTACTTGGTGTTCTGAGCTACAAATTCTTTGACTGTGCAACGGGATTGCATGAGCTTGCAGCCGATCTGATCCGAGCGAGAATTCACCTGAGAACACATTGCGTCGACTGTATAGATATATGTCCGTCCCGATTGAGAGGGCAACGATGGGTAAGAACAGTCCCACTAGAATATAAAGTAGGAGCTTGGATTGGTTACATAGTGCGTAAAGACGCCAAATGAGAATGACTGCAGATGCAAGATTGGGACGCGTGGCGAGATGCAAAAATATATAACTTACCTTCCGCAAAGCAAAAATACACTGAAAAACCCCATTCCATCAGAACGGCAAGAATATAGCCTATTCCAATTGAATGGTGAGCGAAGGCACTTCGGGTTGAAAACGATATACTTGCAGCTATATAAGAGGACAACGACCATCGAGAATTGGCTCTAAGACGAACTTGGGACTTACGGCTAGAATGTGTGTCAGCCCCGAACTCTTTAAATGGAGAGTATTGATACACTGACCGATTCAGGCATGTACAACAGCCCTCCCCCTAGTACTAGTCAGCTTACAACAGTTCTGGAAAGCACAGGGTTACATACATAAGCCGCACAGTCTAATGCGAGTGTTAACATGTATATGCACCGTGTCAAGAAGCCACAACGACGTACAGTACCAAGAAAAGACCAAAATATCGAACCTAGCGTAGCAAGTAAATAAGATAAGATAAGACGCTTGACAGAGCGAAACTTACGACGAGGTACAGGCATGACATTATTGACCATGGACGTTTCTGGAGATTGAGTTAATCTCTGGGCTGATATGATTGTGCAGACATAGGGTAAGACTGACCCAGACGTATTTAGCCTACGCCAAGCATAATAATGATAAGTACTCGACCGACAGAAGAGAAGATCTTGATTACCTCCTTGTCCAACAGAAGAACTGGATAATATTTCATTCAGTGGCAGTGCAAGGTTCCCGAAGGTTACTAACAGTACTCATAGAATATCACGGTAATTGCTGTCACTGAAACCGATGTTCAATCAACACAATGGTTCGCTTACACATCTGTTATAGGGAAGTGACGAACCAGATAGATAGTTATTCCAGTAGAGACCAGTGACGACTTCTTGTTCCGACATGAGATTGCAGATTGAATGGATGATCTGGAGAGATTGATATATTGATATGCCACTAATCGTTGACGACTTATATACGATACTGATAAGGTGTAGGATTTTCTCGTGTCTTGAGGGCTATGGTGGTCGAATTGAAATTGTACATATTGCACCGAGTTTTCCCGAACCTGTCGTCGGTATCACGAGTTGCTGTTCTCGGTAGTTAGCTATGAACGAACAGACATATTCACGACTGACGAGAATGGCTGTTACATCTTGGGTAGGTTCCTCATTACTCGTACGTCATGGCTGTCATGACCAACGTGTTCCCACCTTGTTCCGTGGTTAGTAAGAGTGCCTTTATAGCCTATGCAACGAGGTCTCAATAAGTTGGATCAGGTTGCTGTGCAGGCGTCTGCGATATACAGCGCTTAGATAGTTCGACTCTCTCAGGCTCGATAGAACATGGCCTAGTACATTTTAAGGGTGTAGAAATCAGGCTGAGGACAATGGTAAGATCAGCAAAGACCTCTATCTAACATTAATCACGGGAACATACCAAACTTAGTCTTTGGACAAGGGAATAGTCATAACTATCTATCCTGAAATTCAATGATAAGGACCCTAATTTACCGTCGAAAGCGCTATGACAGGGCCATCGATGGACTAATCATGACAGACAGCATGCGATATTAACTCGTACCTACAAAGGGCACTCCAACAACGTTGATCCACCTGCAATGAGTCATATCGCTTGTCTAGTTGGTACGTATCTCGTGGAAACAATGTTGTCGGCGGTGAATCATGATTATCTGTGTTGTATTCTTGGAGCAACAAATACTTCGAGGCGTGGCGACTTTATGTTCAGTTAGGATTCAGGCAAGTAGCCCCTACTACCCTGTACAGTGCACAAAAAAGTGGCCTTGCGTTGGTAGGTGAAGCTGCTAGAGGGACAACTGCTGTGAGTTTGAGCTAGTCAGCGGCAGACTCCGGTGAAATTGAACAAAAAATTGAACAAAAAAAAAACTTTTAATGGTGCCTTATTAATGGCATTGTGCATACTACATAGGAGACGCGAATGCCTGACCGAGCGTCAATACGTGTACGGAAACAACGTTTGTAAATACAAGGGTGAAGATATGTACCGTCGACATAAGGCGAGCCTACAATGATAATAAACGGGATTCAACAAAAAGGGTGAAGTTCAAAAAGAGACAAACGTGAGGGCCCAGGGAACCGATGAGATAGGTACATATGAAAACAAGGATTACACAAAACGTACATATGAACTACAGGAACGCGAATGGATTACGCCCATCATGATACCTATACGAACCGACCAGCAAAGATTAACTTGGCATGCGATTTTTGCCTAAATAGACACGGAAAGCATCCGACCACCGAAAGCCCAAACCTCCGTAACTGGAACTCCCGCAGCAGCAAATGTGGTTGTCCCCGTACTAGTACTTCATCGAGAGGTCTTCCACAATGTTCTTACTCCTGCTGGTTCCACTACCAATAAGTATATGATGTTACATTCCCACATGAGCGCTCGAGTTTTATTTCATGCACTCTGCTTTTTTCAACTTTGGTCACGGTGTACCGCTCTCGCAAGGACACTCGTCCGTTTCAGCCTGTTTGTGTCAGCATCACTGATTATCATTAATAGTGCTCGAGGTCCAGGTGGAGCTCGAGTGGACAATGAGGCCCAAGCATGTGATGAAGATTTCAACTCATGTCGAGATGACTCCGAAATGTTGAGTGATTTGGTACGAGTCGACGGCTGGTTGAGAACGCGAATGTTCAGCTACTTCTACACCAAATTGCCATATTGGCATTGCAGAGATGCATCTGTTGAAGCACAACCACGCAAGAAAACTTCAAAGAACAACATTCAGCACATAAAAGCCAGCCGTCTTCCTACGGTCTTCTTGAGAATGATCTGATTCCCATATCACGAATCACGACAATGCGGTTCTCCTCCACAATTATCCTCACCGTCGTTGCTACTTAGCATCATCAATATCTGCCACGCCCGTTGACGCGACTGGTGCCGATGGTACATGTCCCATGTTTGCTTCATGGATGCATGACCTGCGTATTATGTGAGTATCGGTAGTTTTGGACGTGATAACACGACTCACCTGCTGCATGGCAGGCCTTCGGTTTGTTCTGCCAAGTGAGTCGTGTTTCTGCTTTCACGTCAGTGCAGTATGGCCGTTGGTACTGACGCGCGAGTTATCAGTGATTTGTAGAGTCGATTGACGCGCCGTCAGGAAACCATCGGTCCACTTATAGCTAGGTCTTCGTATGATGGAGTTTGTGTAATTTTCGTTTGATAAATATTAGAAGATCCACGGCGCAACGTCATGAATCACCAGACGGGCCTTGGCCTGTAGATCGTACAGTTATAAGTATAGTGCGCACGATGGACCTAATGAAAGACACACCTATGTCCCGTGTACAGCTCCGTACTTCGACTTTTGACATTGGTTATTTTAACAACGTTTGATAAGATCTGGATAGGCACTATGTGAACGGGGAAGGATCTTGAAACAACTATTGATATTAATTCCTCGCGAACATGATCGTCCCGGCAGGCTAAGTACACGACAAGCGCAGAATTACCTTATACTTATGCGCCTGTAGAATGTACATTTATAAGTAGATGTACGTACGATATCGATGACCGTCAAACACACCTAGCACACAACTCCCTACTTCAAATTTTGACCCGTCTCAACAACCATCACTTTCGTTTTTCCAGTTACACTGAATTCATCTATTCCAAGGCATCTATTTGAAAGGGTGTGTAATCAGGAAGGGCGCTCTGAGCAAATCACCATACCTACCGTGAGCACCTTGACTCGACCCTTGATTATGCGGTGATGTGGTTACGGTTGTACTTGTCCAGGCATGTCACACAATGATAGCCGCGATTCACCTTGGATGGGATGAACCTTGTGGGTGGTACAAATGTAAATAAACATGCGCAGTGCGCACGACATCGATAGACGCTAAAGGGTTGAAACGTACCTCCATACAGGCTACAACTCGCGACCCTACTACAACTTTCGATTAATGTTCCGGAACGCTTACAAGGTGTTGAGTCTCGAACTCCCATAAAAGAGTTCTTTGTCAGATGAATCGGAAGCGCTGCGGTAAAGTTGCTCAAGGGTCAAGACAAACGAGGCTACTCTCCTCAGTGCTGCCAATGCAGTGAGCAATGGGCAACGAGCATCCATCGTAGAGGCACCATCATGACTAAGTATCTTCACCATCCCTATTGTAGGCCGAAAAAAGTTCCAGACATGTGGGAAAATGGAAGAGTGGCGTATTATCTTGATTTCTATGCTGATGTTTTCCTGGAACGATCATGTCAGACAAGGTTTACTTTCACAACGAGAAAATGTACCCTGCAGTTCGGAAAGCCTTTGATCGTTAGCTCAGATCTAGAAGAATAACAAGAGAATTAGAGAGCACATTAGCCTGTTGTTACTGACTTTCATGACTTACACTATGTCTCTGGGCGGACCAGCGGGGGATAGCTCACGCTGGGGAATTTGTGAGTCCAGGTGTTGCAGAGGCAACCCTTAAAGTAGTTAGTACTGTCCGATGTAAGGTGCGTTATCCCAATGGACAGCAAGTCGGAATCAAAAAAAAAAATACCACGTGTATTCGAAGGTGAACAATGCAACTCCGAGGCAGCATTAAAAGAAAATAAAACTTCGCGCCACTGAAACGACTTCCTCGTCTACATCTGAAGGGCATTTGTTCCAGCACAAAAAATGCAAAAATCAACCACCAGTCCCTCAGCTGCCATGTACTCAACAGACAATGACTGCATCGCCAGTCAATACCATACCACACACAAAACGCCCGCCTGCACCTACACCACATATTGTGGCAGGCACGGGTGTCCAGCCGTTTTCGTGTACGGTAATGGCACCGACTGGCTCGCAGTCAACCGCCTCGTCGATGCCCACTATCCGGTCTGTACAGGGCGACTCCATGGGCTTGCTCTTTTACATCCCCCCTCCGGCATCCACGGCTCACAACACGTGCCAAGCCCTTCGAAGCTCACCCCCGAGAGCTGGGCTATCGACAACAACATTCGCGACGATGAAGTCGTCGCGAACTCTAGTAAGCAGAGAAAAAAGGAGGGTGAGCGGAAGGAAGAACTGGAAAACGACGAATACACCCAGGATGTGCAACCCACATCTGTCTGGTGCCGCGGATGTCAGAAGGCTATCAGCCTTGACAAGCGCTCCAGGTACTACCCTGGATTGTGGGTCAAGCACCGGGGTAAGTGCCCAGGCATCCTCAAGATGGAGGTGAGCTAATATCCCCTATGAATGGAATGAGTAGCTAACTAAATTTTACAGAAAGACAAACTCGCCTTAAGAAAAGACCGGATTTATTCGTCAAATCCAGAATCAGCCGCGGGCTCGTTTGACACGAGCGATGAAGATTGGGAAGAGGAAGAGGAAGAGGACGAGGTGATGGAATTCAGCAGTAAGTCGGTCCTCGATGGGAGCAAACACTGTGACTCACCGCGAGCTCTAGCGTCGAACGTGCTGCGCCTTCGTAAGGCCTGCTGGGAGAGGGAAGCAAGATGATCGGGGTGCCGGTACGAGAGATGGAGAGAAGGTCCAGCGAGGTTGGATCTTATATACTGCGGGTGAGTATTAAACGCGAAAATTCAGAACATGCTTATCAACCCCTTACTTTGTGCACTTACCAGTACTGGACGTCCACGTCCCTTTGTTAGAAAAAAAAACTGTGGATTTCGTTCAAAATACAATCTTCCTTTGATGTTCTGCCGGATTTGAGTGATAAAATCACTAGAGGTGTGGAAGATAACGATCCTTTGTGCGCGATTAAGCTCAAGCACGGTATCATGGTGATCGACGCCTGGATATCGCCGGTTTTGAGTCTTCGGAAGGAACCGGCACCGCTGGAGCTGGTTCTTTTCTTTGTCGTTGTGGTTGCTTTGTCTTTCTTCCCGGACCGTACATTCCACTCGCTCGAATCTACAGTTTTAAACTTTCCTCAGTCCACCCTCCATTCCCATTATTTACAGGTTAACGTTGAAATCATGTTTCGATTATTCAGGTTGGTGGTAATTGAATCTATCTCAATACGCGACATGGTCATCCAACAGCCTGCCTGCCAGCTAATGCTTCAACCGCTGCTGCTTAACCTCACAGTTTTGCAATAGACTCGAAGGTGGACGAACAAGGAACTATCGTTTTTGGAATCAACAGACGGCAATTAATTTTCTGTTCGATCTAAATCTTCCTTGAAACACAAGTATATCTATCTGTTGGCGTCCGCTGCCTCTCCCTTTGACCATATCCTGCCCGCGTCCCAGCCACGCTATACCATCAACTCAAACTCTAGCACAGCTGCCAAGTATCGCGAGTACACGTGCTGTGCAAAATGTCTATCAGCTCTCTGATTTCAGTTTACGGGATCCTCTTGGAGAGTTTGCGAGACAGACCTAGCTGAGTAGTAGTATCACGTTGTTCACGTAGAAATGATACAGATATAGATCGACTCTGAATCACTGATCACACGAAGTGCGACACTCCTGAGCATTGCATCATCCGACTGAGGGTGTCATTGTCTCCACGCCTCCACAAGACATCAGCCCAACTATTTAAACTGATCGAGAGCCATGACGCCCTCCCAGAGCAGATGACGCCTTGACTACTTTCGCTGTTGCGGAAGGCTATTGCCATTCACCGAAGCAATATGACAGATTGATGCGTGGGAATTTCGTGCCGAGGTTTGTGAACAATGACCGACATCAGTGATTGGAAAAGTTCTAGATGCATAGTGAGACACGGTTGAATATTATAAGTCAGCACCAGATGGATATTCATCATTGACGGACGCGTTCAAGGAGCAGCTGGCTCGAGAAAGGCAGATGTACGATCTGTTGGTTACACACATGGGTAGAGATGCGCAATGATATCATTGGCCAGACAGTAGTAATAAGGATTGAGATTGTAACTGACAAAATGTGAGTCGTGATCAGAAAGGAGGCCTGGCGCTTCAGCTGCAGTCTATAGTAGAGGCTGTGACGATGACACATGTGCAATGTACCAGCTCAAACTTCTGGTGCACTCTTGACCTAAACGCCCTTTGCGTCTTGACGTTAACACGTGGAAACCTGTTGAGAAACATACCGTCGTGGGTGATGATTGCGGACTTTGTTGGATGAGAGCTGAGACTGCACTCGGCGGTCAAAATGTCTTCATCCACCGTGGAGACGCAGAAGACATCGGAGATAAGGTCCCGCCGGAAATTTGAAGGACACGCTAAATGGTTCGAGGGCGCTGTACATCTACCAGACGGACAGAAAATGATGATGACTTGTTCAAGAGACGGCTCGCTGCGGGTATGGAACCTGGAGAGTAGGAAAACAGATAGGAGAGGACTGGCGGGACGGAGACATTGAAGTGCGGACCATAGCGTTGTCTCCGGAGG